CACGGAGGCTACAGGCGAATGCCGATCCTGCTCCCCGCCTACCCCAAACTCCAGCCGCTCTGCGGTTTGAGCAAACCGAGAGGCAAGTGCGGGTGTTGCAACTGCGTTCCCTATCAAGCATGGCAGCAAATGGAGCAAGCATTTTCGCTTCTCGGCCGCGTCAAGCCTATAATCGGGCTCAATTGCTGAGGAAGCACGTGAGGTAACCCTGTCGCTGACTGCACAGTCAACGTCCGTGTTTGTTGCTGATGTAGCTGTGGACCTCACTGACCTGCTTGAACCAGATGCGGCATGTCATGTGCTCAGGGTGCTGCCATCCGCAGTAGGTCTCGATCAGAACCAGATTGCAGTTGGCCGCCGCAGCAAGGAGGAGCGTCACTTCCAGGGCGCTCTCTGACAAGGTGAAGGAGCCATCCTGACGGTACTCATAGTGGAAGACGTCCCCTCCTCTGACGTTCATCCCGGGTCGAGGCGCTGCCAGTGTGGCACTGTCATGGCACTGACCTAGACAGACGCAGTCAGTCGGTCCGTCAGGTACCCAGTGGCAATTGCAGCACAGGCGGAATGCCCGGCTGCACTTGAGCAGATAAGGCTAACGGCGGGGCGGGGAGTGTCCTCACGCAGCAGTGAGCGTGCACCCAGAGCCCCTATCGTCTGTTTTGCGCCTCGACATCGGTGGGCAGGACCTGCCCGTCGGGTGTAACTAGGCTTTGCGTCGGTGGTCAGCTGTGGTAGAAAGCCTGATAGCCGCGCTGTCCCGAGGAATCCTGATATGAGACAATACCGCTCGCCGCCACCCGTGATCGCTCGGCACCGATTTGAGCCAAGCGACCCGCCTGCTAGTCTCGATAACCACCAAGTTGCAGTCGTGAAGGGATGCAATCACTTGTGCATACTGGACGAGGGTGAGATCCACATCGTGTGAGGTGCTGATTTGCAGCACGTCGTGTCCAGGGACATTGGTGCTTGCACTGAGGGCTTCCCACCGTCCTGCCAGCAGCAGTACAAAAAGCGAATCAACGCGCCCCAGCTTGACGGCAAAGTGCGCCCACATGGCCAAGGATTCTGGGCTAGCTGGGGTATGCAGGGTGAGCTCGGCAAGCAGCCAATGGGTGGCAGTGCCCCCGAGGGCCACCGCCAGGCCGACGAGCACTCCTGCGGGCGTTCCTCCGTCTGCCAGGGACGATCCGACCCAGCTGACAGCTCCTCCCCGATAAATGGAGGACTTGAGAAGGTGATTGACATAGAGCCCCCTACGTAATAGGGAGTCAAAGTCGCGCCGAGCCTGATCCCTTGCGTTAGTGGTGGCCCGCCGGAGCAGCTGCAATATAGCGACGCCTCCCTGGTCGCCATGCCGTCCAGGGGCGACTTCGTACCCCGAAGCACACATGTGGTAAACTTGTTCCAAGATGTCGGCGGCTTCCCCGCTCGAAGCTGTGGAGGGCGCAAGGCCAAGGCGGGTTCCTCCCAATGTGGTCATCGGCACGAGCGGTACAGTGTCAGGAGGGGGCAGCAAGCCCTAGCAATAAGCGACCTGTGCGCAGTTGGAGTGCGGGCGTCCCGTACACACTTCAAGGCAGCTGAGGCCGTCGTGCGGGGGGGAGCCTAAGGGCACCTCAGGCGAAACCCGACACGCCAACAGCAACGCCATGTCAGTTCCTTTGTCTCGGGCGAGAGTGCAGGCGAGGCCGGGATGCCCGCCCGCAGGGTGTCCGCTGAAGGATTGTCACGTAACAAGAGCGCAACGAGGTGTCCGGCATCCTTTTGCACGGCAAGGAGCAAGACGTTGTGTGCCCCGCGGCATGCGGGTGCCACCGTCGCACTCGCCCGTAGGAGCATGCCCACGCCCGAGTCGAAGTCCAAGTGAACCGCCTTTTGTGGGGCATCCACGTGCCATACTCTCCAACCGGGCAATTTGGGTCAACACGCATCATGAGGAGGGCAGCGCACTGCTCGGGCGCACGTTGGCCTAGGGCCCATCCAAGCGCTGAGTAATCTTCTCCCCAAGACGTGTGGCCAATAGCCAACTGCGGCACGCATGTCCAGGCATAAGAGACAAGCTTGTGGTTCAGGGTGCGGAGAGCCGCCTGTAGGGTGGGCGCAAAGTCCAGTGTGTGTATCCACTCAAGGCAGTGAGCCTGGAGACTCCCCCAGCTCTACGCTCATGTTGTCATCCAGCCCGGCAGTGGGAGCGCCGCTGCTCGGCCGAACCAGCAAAATGTAGGTTGCCGGCCAGCAGAACACCAGCGCCGCCTGCTGGCGGACCGCCGCTACAGTAAACTGCATGTTGTCACTCATTTTCTCAGGAGCCAGCAGCAGCGGAGTGCTGGTGCGCTTCATGATGCCCTCTTGGCCTACCGCTGCAAGCGGCCCTAGGCCATAGAGATTGGCCGGGAGCACTTGGATGGCATGCGTGCGGATGGCCCGACTAGTCCGCACCCTCTTGCAATTGGGCGGGTCCATGGCCGTGCTCTACCCCGGGCCGATGAGCAGAAATTGCCCTCAGCACCTCCCCGCATAGGCCACCCCAGGCTGGAGCCGAGAACAGCCGGCGTGGCAAATGATATCCATCTTAAGACAGCTCGTGTGCTTGCCGCGCACTACTTTTTAACACAGGATGTCAGGGCGCACACAGAAGTTGAAGGCATAAAATGCCCATCCAGTGCCCGTGGGCCAAGAGGGCAGGCAAAAAAGCCGTCGCGAGCTCCCGCCGGTCCTCTCCGGAGAGCCTGGGTTTAGCCAAGTGTACAAAGAGCGCAGGCAAGAGAATGTCCTGATCAGGGCTCCGAAAGGCCAGTTGTAAAAGCGATGCCAACGATACCGCGCTAAGGCCAGGATCCGCCCTTGCCGTCAGTAACAGGCGGACTGTATGGGGCGTGCCCATCGAAGTGGCAACATATTGTGGGAGTTGTAACTGGGCCGGCCCGAAAGGACTCACTGTGTTGGGACAAGCTTGCGCCCCGAGCAAGAGCTGGACCACGACAACAGAGGACTTGACCATGGCGTAGACCAGCGGGGTGCTCAATTCCCGATAAAATCCGTTGGGGTCCGCCCGGGCACGCAAAAGCACCTCTACAGCGGTCGAGTCATTCCGGATGGCCCAGTGCAACGCATAAGGCGGCGCACCCCAGCAATACGCGGAAGACCGGAGCACTGTAGGGAAAGATGTCGCAACCTCCAATGCAATATCGTGTGGCGCCTGCATGCCCCTAAGTCCTCCTCCAGGGGGACCATGTCCAAGCCAAGCAGTGGCATCCGTAGGTACTCATGAAGCTCGTAATTGAGCAAGCGGGGACCCACCCGCAGTGAGGAGGCCAAGCCACTCCCCCGTGAGTGCGTTCCACAACGCTCATCATCGCACTGGGCACCATGTGCCTTGAACACTCCAAGGGCGAACTCAATGTGCCATTGGACCGCCAAGTCCCACGCCGAGACTCCAATCAGGGTACCCTCCCGTGCCTGGAGCAACGGATCTGCTCTAGCAACGGTCAAGTGAATCACTGCCTCCTCCGCGGTGGCCAAAAGTAAAGGCTGAAAGCCGGTTGAAGGCATCGTGTCGGCTTTGGCTCGGAGAAGAGCCAGCACCCACTCTCCACGCCCAGCGTAAATGGCGTAGATGAGGGGGACCTGGCCTCCTGTATCCGGTTGGGCTCCCTTGACGCGGTGTACGAGTCCCGCTATGGCTTCCTCCCACTGTCGACACAGGCGGACCTGACGCTCTTCCGCAGCGGGCCGGACCTCCCCTTCACCAATGCCACTCTCCCGCTTGCCCTGGGCAAGCTGGCGAGGGCGATCCTGCCCCTCATCATGGAGCCCGGCATCCTCATGTGCGAGGCTATCTGGCTCTATACTGACACGGCTGAGGTCCCTTCTTACCCGCACGCCAGATTCACCCTGCCACACATTATCAACCTTCTAGCGGACCATGATGCTGCGCCCACCTCCCTGTTTGAAGTCCGTGATCTCCTGGAGCTAGCGGCCATCTTTCAGCAAGCGCCGGCACCTGGCAGGGCGGCGGAAGGAGAAGCTACGTTGATGCGCCCCATCTGGGATTATGCCCCGGGGGGCTATGACCTTGCCCAGAAACGGCAGGATGTTGGCTCGGTCGGGGTGATTTTCGTTTCCGAGCCGTCCACGGATGCCCAGGGAGGCTTCTCGGTGTTTGCGGCGCAGCCTGGTCACGTCCCTTGGGACGTTGGCCTCCTTCCTCGTGCCTGGCGCTCTACTGGGACTATTTGCGACTGTGAGCACGTGGAGACCACGGGCTACGCAGGTATGAAAACGCCCTCAAGCTCGAGGCGACGCTCCTGGATGACTGGGCTGCAGAAGTGGTCCCCATGCTGCTCGCCCGCCTTGCCCTTCTCCCAACTCTGCCACGCAACCTGACGGCCTCTGACTGGCGTCAAGCCGAGCTACTCGCTGGGACGCCGCTCCTAGGCGCTCAGGCACGGCATGCAGGCGATGTGGCCACTGCATGGGCGTACCTAGGCTTCCTTATTCAAGCCTTTTACTGGAGTCCAATGTCGATGGCGACAGGCCGGACGAAACACTTCTCGGCCGTGTCTTTCGCACGGACCCAGTCCCGGCGAGATATGAGGGGCTTGTCTACATGCTTGTAATAGCACGAGCGAGCTGCGGCCTGCAGATGGCGGGGGACCTGCGACCGCTTGAGTTTCTGTTTGTCCGCAGAGCGTCCATCCCGGCGACTATGCTGTGGCAGCTTCTAGATGCCAAAGCTGACACTGCGGTCCTTGACCATGACCGCCTCGGACCAGCCTCTCCGCTTGGCATGGCAATTAGCCTGGGACTGGATGCAGAATGCAGCATCTTATGCGCGCGAGTCAGTCAGAGTCTTTAAGCTTTTTGTGCCTGCAGCTTAAGTCCCGGTTTTGCGCCGAGCACGAACCGGTTGCATGTTGCTGCATGTCGCTGCCCGCAGGCTGGGCTCGCAGTGCAAGGGACGCCAATTCTGGGGATCCCTGTTGCTGCGCCAATCGCCCATGGCTAGTGTGGAGGATGAGGAGGATCGGCTGAGCCCGCGACCCTCTCCTTTAGGGCTGGATGTGGTGCGGTCTGCAGGTCTCTACCTCAATGCCGACTCTCTTCTGCCGGTGGCTTTGCATGGGCACGCCAACCCTAGCCAGAATACGTCCGGTGGCTGCCCGGGCATTTTGGGACATAGTGACTTTCTATCATTCCTGGAGCCCTTGGTCGGAGTGCCCATGCACATGCTACAGGTGACCGACACTTTGGGCAGGGAGATAGTTGTGGACGACCTGCGTCAGTACACGCACGCCGTGTTGCTTCCCCGCGTGGCGCCCTCGACCCGGGCGAACATCTACTGGATCCAGGATAAGCTCCGACGTGGGGAACTCTCTCTTGTCTGCTTTGCCCAGGAACAGGGTTGGACCCTTGATGGCAGTACAGGCTGGGCACCGCATGCGAACGCACTAGTGTGGTCCATTTCACATGCGGGGCTTGCCTTCCCGGCCCTTCTACGGCACTGCCTGCGCAGTCCGCGGAGGGCCCAGCTCCTTCGACCGCTGCTGCGGACATGGACGGCGGGTGTGCAGGCTCCGCCGGCCGCTATAGGATCTGCCTCCTATGTGGTTGCCTGTATTACGGCAGAGCTGAAAGAGCTGCTACGAGGGATCCTGGAGGACATCAATGCGACAGCCCCTCGCTGGCTGGTTGACGCGATGTGGTACGGGACGGCCCCTTGGTCGCCGCCGCCGCTCTGCACTATTCTGGCTACACACATGTTGTGGCGCGGCCACTATCAGTATGTGGGATGGCTGCTGTCCCTGGGCGCTGATGCCTGCGTCCTCCGACATCGCGCCTCCTTGCGGCAGCCAGCCTCGGGGCCGACCCGGCGGTTTTGCCCAGGCATGCGGCTGCTCACATGGGGGTGTGCGGGTGGGGCTCGACTGGCCCGATCAACGTTTACCGGCCGGATGGGAGCCGTTTTCTCCGTTGACGAGCCGGTTCTTCATCGGGATTTGCAGTGGGCGGCCTCGGTCTTGGCAGGCCATTCCCCGCAGTGGGGGTTCAGTGTCTGCCCCACGGCGATGGCTTCACGAATGAGCCAAATGGTATCATTGTTAGCGGCAACTACCAGCTAGTCATCTGCAACCCCATGGAGAACGCCTCTGTTCTTGAACGGCAGGCCCATCTCCGCGACTCGCTGCTCTACGACGATCCGGCCTCGCTGGAACGGGCCCCTCAAGCGGCGGGTGGCTTCACCACCTGCTGGGTTTGGGGGTCTACTCTCTTCCCGGTGGTATGGGCGCTGGACCAGCCTGGCGTCGTCCTAACGCGTATCTTGGAAGTTGCGCCTCTGAGGCAACTACCTAGTGGGTGGCTACGCTCGGGGATCGAAGAGGCAGCGCAGCGGGGTGATACGCTACAGGTTGCCACCCTGGTACGACATCTCCGAGCGCACCCCCCCCTTGACGTGGAGGCGGACGACGCTGTGCCGGACCCGGGGCACCTCTCGCTCATTCCTGCGGTGAAAGCCGGCAGCGCTGCTGCAGTGTATGAGATACTGGCGGCGGGCTACCCCACAGAAGGACCCCTACTGACACGCGCTCTGCTGGCTGCAGTTGAGTCCACTGCCCCGCTTGAGACTTTGCGCCTCCTGCTGATTGCTAGAGCAGACCCGGGTTTCACCCGTCGAGGAGACGAGGGGGACGCCACACCCTTTGGGCTTGCAATTTTTAATCGCATGTGGGACACCGTCCGCCTTCTCCTATGCAATTCGATTGCGCACAAGCCCGTCACTATGTTTTGACTGATTAATGTGCTTAAGTGCCGCGTGGCAAAGCGGGACCAGGAACCATTAAGTATATCCTCGGGCCGAACAGATTTCAGAATCGGCCCTGCTGCGATGCTGAAAGGGGGCTCCGGCACCGGGGCCTGGCCTCCACGCGCCAGCCAATGCTAACTGCGGTTGCCAGGTCTTCTTGGATGTCTCGATGATGACCTTGTGCGAGGCGGGAGTCCCGAGGGGCACGGCGTTGCGCGGCTGCTGCCAGAAGCGTGGACTTAAGGCTGTGTAAGGTAAGGGACCTAGCCTCCGATGGGAGAAGGCCGGACCCCGAAGGCCAATTGCAAGTGCAGGCCCAATGCAGAGAAAGAAGTGCGGTGCAGTAGCTCGCTGGCGCTAGTTGGGTCAAGCAGAGGCGGCTGGGCGCTGTGTGGAACCAAAGGAAGTCGATCTGCGAAAAAGAGTCGTAGAAACGATGCGTTGCTTCAAGGATGGCGTCGAGCCAGTGCAGAACCCAAGCAGTGCGGACGTCGCGTCCCGACAGGCCGCCTAAGCGGCAAGCCCAGGGCTGGCCTTGTGACGTCGTTTTTGTAGCAAAGCAGGTGCCGTGCAGAGCTTGGCATGTGAGAGACAAACTAGAAAGATCTATACGCTGAAGGTCGGTTCCTGTGTTCACTCAGGGTTGTTTTGGCAGTTCTCATCCCGCGGCCCCGCTTGGGTTCAAGCATACACCACGCAACAGCTGCTTGCTTTTCAAAACTTTAGCTTCAGCTTTCCACTTTTCAGCTTGCTTTTGATCATGCTTTTAGCTGTCAGGACTACTTTTCAGCCGCTTTAAGCTAAGTACGTTCAGCCAGCCCTGTGCATGGAAAGCCAGCCGGCCGCTTCTCGCCCTCAGTTGCAGCTCCAACTGACTACAGAGGTCAGATCGCTGATCGATAGGCTTATCGACTTGGAGGCTGCGGGGGCTGCTCAACGAGCGGAAATTTCCCGCTTGCACTGCAGGGTCAACCGGCTGGAAGCTCAGGTACATCAAGGCCGCAACTGGCTTTTGCACCTAGCAGAGACAGGGCCACTTCCTTGGAAGAGGTCACACAGAAGCTTTCTATCAGGTTGCGAGCCCTGGTTACCCTGCTTCGTGACACGCTTTCCGAGACTGTTGCCCGTCTTCGGATCTGGTTTTAAGCATGGCCTCTTCTGGTATGGTCGGTGGTGATGCACCTGCTTTGCCGTCTAGCAGGGTGGCTACGGATATACTTTTGGCCGATTCTTCGCCTTTCTGCACCGATGCTGACGCTTTGGAACTCAGGGCCTCTTTTCGTAATCGCTTTGCTGATTTTGCGGACCCGGAGGACCCTACTCAAGTACCCTCAGCTTCGGCATCCACTTTCGAGGTTGCTGATTCAGATGCAGAGGCAGCTTTTGAACCCAGGAGTAAACTTCGCCGCCGCTGGATGCATCAAGCACACTGTGCCCCGGCTACCCCTCCCTTGCCTATGGAAAACTCGCCAGGTGCTTCTAGTGGAGACCAATCATGGCAGCTGGTACCGCAGGATCAGCCGGTACCCGAGAATGCATCTTTCCAGGGGTTGCCTTCAGATACTTCAACGTTTCGGCTTATGCCATTGCGATCTACCCCTCCTCGACCCAGCTTGACTGCTACTCCGAGGGCACCCACTTGGCGGGCTCCCAGGGTGTGCTTGCGATACAATTCCCCTTTTCAGGTGGGGCACAACGGGCGCCAGCCTACAGTTGCTCGGCTCCGCCCCTGCGCTCCCTTCCCCACTCCATTGCAAGCCCCCAACATCATGCCTGTTCAGCAGTCTACGCCTCAGTTCTTCCCGCAGGCGAAAGCACTACCTCACTTTCAGGACGCTTCTGCCTACGCGGTTTACCCCATGCAGCAGCATTCTCCTGTTCAGGCATCACTTTCCTTGGCAACACCGAGACCCGTGCAGCCCTCAACCACAGCTTTGCGAGCACCTTCAGACTTACACCCGCCTGTGTTTCGTGAACCGGCCGCCGGCATGGTCACCAGCAAGGATAACCATCAGGCATGCGATGAACGCAACAAGGTCCTTTTCGACCAGCTTTGTATATCGCATGGTGCCTACAGCGAGGTGCTGCAACAGCTTTCAGGAAGTCGTGAGGGTGCAGTGATCAAGTCTCGACTGCTTAGCAAGGTCAGTGACACCACGGCGGCCCGCTATCTTCGCTCAGTCCAGTTGTTCTTTTGCGCCTTTGAGGAGCTGGGCGGCAACATGGAGTCCATCGACCAAGGCCTCTCTCTTGATGCTTTCTTCGCTTTGTCTCGAGGCTCCGAACCAGGCCCGCTTTCCAACAGCATCAATGTGCTCAAGGCGCTTCGGTGGTATAAGAAGCTTCTCTCACTGTCTTGCCTCCCGGACCTGTGCGGCACCGCTTTCAGTCTCCTCTCCAACCCGTCTGGCCAGGAGAAACGGGAGAGCATACCTCTGCCGCTGTCTTTTGTGGCTTTCCTTGAGCGTACTCTGCTTTCAGGTAAAGCCAGCTTGATGGACAACGTCTGGGCGGGGTCATTCTTGGTGGCAATCGGCGCCAGCCTCCGCTTTGCGGATGCCCAGCACGTCCGCTGGGGCTCACTTTGCGTGAGCAATTTCACTTTACGGGGAATATGCTACAGCACCAAGACCACCAAAGGCGGATGCCCCTTTGGTCTTCTCAGCTTCGGCCCCTTTTCGTCCGCTGAGGAGTGGGGGCTGACGTGGCTTCCCCGCTGGTTGGGAGCATTGGACACGGTGTGGTCCGAGCTCCGCTCCCGCTTTGGTGCCCAGCCTGAGCCAGACTGCATGTTTTTCCTCTTAAGTGATGCAGGCTTTGCTCCTGCCACTTATTCACAGGCCCTTCAGAAGTTGCGTCACTGGCTGACGCCTTCAGGGATCGAACCGCAGCAAGCTGCTCAATATACGCTTCACAGCTTGAAGACGACCTTCCTTTCGTGGATGTCTCAGCTTTCTATTCCACTGGCATCTCGCTTTCTCCAGGGGCATCATAGAACTCCTGGCTCTGCCCGGCTCTGCCCAGCTTTATTCGCGGGATGACGTATGGCCCGCTTTGAGGGCGCAGCTTCTTTTGTGGCGGTCGATCCACGCCGGCTTCCGTCCTGCCAGGCCGCAACACCGAGGCGGACAATCCCCGCTTGCCGAGGAGACGGCGGGGTTTCAATGGGACGCATTTCTCCCGGACCTTTCATGCTTCTCGCTTGGTAGTGATTTCCAGTCATTCCTGGCCCTAGAGCAACAGGACGGCGACCTTCGCGAAGCCCGGGAGTCATGCTCGACGATTACACGTTCAGGTGCCAAGCTTCCCTCTTGTGTTCATGCCCGGGCGCAGGTCGACCACTTCGAGGACACAGATGCTGAGGATCCAGGCCCGGCTCGCTCTTCAGCTATGGTCGCTTCCACTTTGGAGGTCGATCCCACACGGCAAGATGAAACGCGCGAGGAACTTAGCGTGTCACATGAGGAGCAGCCGCTTGAAGCCTCCTCTTTGCAAGCTTCCCGCCTCAACTGCAGAGAGGTGCGGTACCTGCTAGGAGCATCCGGGGTGGCACACTCCAGCATTTCCCACCCCGGCTCCCGCATGACTTGCTTGGCTTGCAGGGATGCCAACTGCAAGATTCGATGCCACCCCGCTTGTGGATGCATCTCAGAATTTTCAGCTTTTGTTCATTTTCCGCCCGACTCCCGCTTATGTAAGCGGAGGGCCTGCATCATAGCGTCTTTGGAGGCAGCTTGAGTTTCTCCCGGCTTAAAACAGTCCATCTGCGTGAGACTTATTCATGCATGCGTTCAGTTGTCTGCCGTGTGCTTTTCTGAACATTTATTCCATCAGTCCCTGCTCGAGATCAGCTTATGAAACATAATCCCGCTTTACTTCCAGCGTGGGTCATGGCCAAGTTGTCCCCCGATTACGTGTTCAGCCTCCTGAAAAGCATGAACGAAGATGAGAAAGCCCACTTTTTGCGGCGAATGGAAGGAGATCCACTTCTTCCGTCCTCAACGACTACACCCGCCTCGGCAGCAGCACCTTCGGAGCAGCCTGCTTCGACTCCAGTGGACGACCCCATAGGGGATTTTATCGCTGCCGAAGATTACGGCCTGTCGCAGGGGACGCCAGCCGCTTCTACGCCTTCTCCATCGACAGCTCATCCCGCTTTGGAGGCACAGGCGCACCCAAAAGCAGCCACTGGTGGTGAGAGCGCTCCTACGGGACCCACTTTGGCTGCACATGGGGAAGAGGTCAGCGCCGATGCAACAGGTGATGGGGTCACGAATGCCAAAAGATGGCAACGAGAACCCGAGGTCAAAGAGCCGCCGCCTCGACCTCCTTCATCACCCGCTTTGGCGTCGACCACTCCGAAGGCCAACGTACCCCTGCTGAAGTCGAAGAGTATGGCTACGCCCGCTCCACCCACTTCGGCGTCCACTACGCCTCCGCCGGCGAAGCCCAGTGCTCCTCCCGCTTCCAAGGCCCCACCACCGCCGCTTGTGGAGGAGGGCACCACCGGCGGAAGCTCGGGCAACACAGGGCCCGCTTCAACACAGCGAGAGATAGATCCACTTCTCGCTACGCCCCTGCTTCCCGCTTGGGTCACACTATCTTTGATAGTGAAGGACGGGGCACGCTTCAACTGGTTCAGCTGTGGGCCTGTCGCCGCCAGTGTTCCCAATGCGCTCAGGGACACTGTCAGGCGACGTTCAGCGACAGGTCCAACAGCTTCCACGTGAACCACTTATGCAGAGACTGCAAGCGTGCTCGTGGGCGTGAACGCCAGGAGGCCACTTCACAGTGGAACCATGGCCAAGACGAGTGGGGTCAGAGCCAGACCGCTTGGGAGGACTCACCCGCTTGGAGCTCCTGGAACTGGTCTGGACGGGCATGGCAGCATCAGTGAAGTCCACGCTGCACCCCACTTTTTCGGCTTCGGCATTGAATCGCCCGCTTTTGGGTCGACCCAATTTGTACACGGGCGACCCCGCTGGGCTTTTGAGCCCGCTGGAGCTCGGCTTTCGTAAGCCAGACATCTCGAGCACCGCTTCCCGCTTGGAAAATATGCGGCGAACTCTGGCAATTGCAGTGAATTGTGCTTCCGCTTTCGATTCGCTCAGAACCATGACATCATTTGTCTCCCCCGCTTGGGTCAAGCACAGCTCTCTCCCGCTCTGGGTTTCTCTCGCTGCCTCGCTACAGGCCAAAGGAACCCACTTGAAGCCTTTCACTTTTGTTGTGTGCCGCGCAGGACGATCATCGCAGAGGCCCATGCCTGAGAGTCACTCACAGCCTGCTTCACATTAGCCATTTGTCCCGCTCAGGTTTCTTCGCCAGGGCTGACTTCACGCAACTCGTGTCAGGCTGCAACGTGCCTCCTGCAGTAGCCTCTCTGCTCTCCGCGTTTGACACTGCTTTGTATGCGCGGGCATGCACCACTTCTGCAGAGTTGGAAGAATTGGTCAACCACTTTATGGCCGAAGCCTCAGTGACGGAAGCCGCGGAACGCTTCATCACCAAAGCGTCTCTGCGCTTACTCTTTTTCAAGTGCCGACAGTCAGAGGGTATGGCATCCCTGGAAGCCGCGTCCAGCGCTGGTCTCCCGCTTGGAGAAGGGCCATCAACTGCCACACCAACCGCCCCTGCCGCAGTCCCGCTTTCTAGCTCATGGCAGGAGGCTTGGCCTGCAAAGCTCAGCGGCGAACGCACCGCAGCGCTTAGGAAAAGGTTCGAGGAGGATTACCCCACTGAACTCCTCGATGCCGAAAGCTTTCCGAGCGCCCGCTTGTTGGCCCTTACCAATAAGATGCTTTCAGAAAAGGAGGTTCGATGGATTCCCTGGAAGTACCGCTTAAGTGCCAGGGCGCAGGAAGACAGTCTGCTTATCAGGCCCAAGAAACAGGCCCGCTTTGACCTCGCGGAGTTCTTCTTCGACGAGGCTCCGACCCGGGACATACATGAAGGCCCCGCTTCTTTCAGCTTCGTGACACAGCTTCTCTCACTTGCTGCGAACGCCATCGCATTATGCCAGGGGGCGCACCTAGGCTCCCTGAAACTCTACAACAAAAAGTTCACCCGCATTTGCTTCACCAAATACGAGGCCTCCGCCAGCCTACGGGGCCCCACTACGATGGAAGCCCAGGCAGCTGATCGCCGCTGTTGGGAAATCATCGCCGACTTAGTCAATGTGCATCATTGGAAGCTGGATGATGCACTTCACGAAGTAGCTGAGGTGCGTTCTGACTTGCACAGCTTACTCGCACCAAGGCCATTCATACCCAAGCCCAAGCACGACCCGGACAACAGCTGGAAAGCCCGCTTCACAGGAAACGGCCGTGGAGGCAAAGGCGGCGGCCGCGGAGGCAAAGGACGCGATGGCAAAGGCGAGAAAGGCGAGCGCTTTGAGCGAGGCGGCAAAGGTGGCAAAGGCAAGGACAACAAGCAGGCACCGCCTCCCGGAAAATGGCTTTCAACCATCTTCATGGATGGCAAGCGTCAGACACTTTGTATGCGTTACCAGAGCGGGCAATGCAAGGACCCAGCCACATGCCGCTATTTGCACAGATGCGCAGTGCCCAAGAGTGACGGCACCGCTTGCGGGGGTAATCACCCAGCCTCTCAGCATGTGGCTACCCCGCACTAGGAAACCCACTTCAGCGACCAGCGGGACATCGCTGAGGAGGTCACGGCTGTCCCGCTTTCAGTGCCCGCTCAACCATCAGGTTCAGCAGGGGCCACTTCGGCACTGCCCAAGGCTAGTGCCCCAGTATCCAGTGCATCTTTGGCACTCAGTGAAGGATCCCTCGACTTCGCTACCTGCTTGGAGCTTTTAGCGCAGTACTTTTCCATTCCCTTCATTGATGCCGCAGGCCCCGCCGACAATGCCATTGACGCTTCCGAGGCATATTTCAACCTTGGAGCTTTCGCCTTTGACAACGGCACTAGGTCGGGGATATTTCAGCGCACCGAACAATTTTCCGATGTACTTCGTTTCTTGAACGCTTTCATGCAGCTTCAGTTCCCGAGTGCCTCCTGGAGCTCTTTGTGCGTGAGCCACAATGTTCGCACTCGCTTACATACAGACGCTGGCAACGCTTCAGGAACACTCAATCATACAGTTTCACTCGGCAATTTCAGCGGAGGTGAAGTCTGGCTCGGCCCAGCTTTGGATCCTGCAGCGGCCAACGTCCCGGCACCCTTGGAAGCCTCATCTGAGGCCCATAGAGCAGACAGTGCAGGCCAAGGGGAACTGCGCGACACCTGGCATTCGCCGCTTTCCTTTAGCTGCGAATCCCTCCACTGCACAATGCCAATCCAAGGAGACAGGTGGGTCCTGACTGCTTATACTTGCAGGAACCTGCACAGCTTCGACACAAAGTCGCTGGCACATCTAAGGTCACTGGGGTTCCCACTGCCTCCGGTACCTACAACGCTTCCTCAAGCTGCTCCCCCTTCGCTGAAGGACAACACGCACGTCGAGATCTTCTTGGATATCTGCTGTGGGGCCTCTCACCCACTTACTACGGCGATGTCATCATGTGGCATCGTATGTTTGCCCATTGATTTGCTTGGTGAGGAGCAGCTGGATCTCTTGCACGACGACACGTACGACCACCTGCTTCGGTTATGCTTCTCAGGCATTGTACGCTTGGCTCATGGCTCTCCACCATGCAAAGAGTACTCCCGCTTGAAGCTACGCCCCGGGGGGCCTGCCGCTATCCGATCCCCGGAACATCTAAACGGGTTACCGGGCAACACAGCCTCACAGCAGGACCGCGTGGTAAGCAGCCAGAAGCTTCTGTATCGCTGTGTATGCCTGCTTCGAGCCGCTTTCAACTCAGGTGCACACGTGTCTCTGGAACAGCCCACGAACGCGATGTCCTGGCTTGAACCATTCGTACAGGACATGCTCGCAGAGATACAAGCTTCACTGGTTAACATCCCGGCATGCTCAGTGGGGCAGAACGTAGCCAAATCCTGGCTTTTCGCATGCAGCTTTGATGACATGCGAGCCTTGGCAGGTACATGCTCGCATTCAGAGGGCCACCCTTCTGTGGCCGGTGTCAGGGACGAGCTTGGCAACTTTTTGTCACAACGTACCGCAGAGTACCCGGCCCAGTTAGCAAACCGCTTTGCACAGCAGGCAGTTCAACTTTTCTCGTCAAGCCGGCCCTCTTACAGTGTACCAAACTGCTCCTTGGCTTTCGCACTCTCGTCAATCCCCAAGAAGCCCCGGGCAATGCCACCTACAGCGTCACAGGATGGAGGTGGCATTTACTCCTTGCCGGACTGGTCTATGGGCCCCAGATACCAGTCTGACAGCTTACATGATTTGCGCAAAGAATGGCAGTCCTGGCTTCTCTCGCACAGTATACCACTTCGCCTTCAGCAACATGTCGCGGCAGGCAGTAACAGCCCACTTTTCTCGGAGGAGGAGACATCATGGCTGCGCAGCTCCTTCAAACGCTTTTCGGATTCTCACTCCCCATCTCAGGATTGGGACTTTTCTGTTAAAGAAGGTCAACCATACTGCCTGTCAGCACTTGAGCGCTTGAGCACCATCTTGGGGGACAAAGACACAACTCTGTTTCCCGCTTTGCAGAAGGGGGTTCCCACAGGTTTTGACAGCGACATCCCGCGCAGCCACACCCTACGTCCCCGCAATGCAGAGGAAACTGAGAATGCCACAGATCTGCTTATCTGCGAAGGCAACTGGCAAGGAGCCGAGGCGGATCCTGCCCTGCTTCAGGAGCTGATTGAAGACGAGGTGTCCTCAGGCTACATCGAGGAAATGCCCAGTCTGGAGGCCGCTTACGAAAGGTGGGGAAAAGATCGTGTTGCAGTTGGCAAGGTCAACATCGTTAAAGCTCCCGGACGCGCTCCTCGCTTGGTGATCGATAACAGCATTTGCAACACGAACCAAAACTGCGACGTACCCGAGCAGTTCTCCCTGCCAAGCCTCCAGGACATACAGGCCGCTTTCCCGACGAGAGAAGACGAGGAGCCCGCTTCAGGCTTCAGCTTAGATGTTAAGGGAGCGCACAAAACCTCACTTGTGCGGGAGCAAGACAGAGGTCTGCTTGGGCTCAGACAGCAGGACCGCCTCTTCTTTTACCGTGTCTGTCCCTTCGGGGCCACTTTTTCAAGCCACTGGTTTGCCCGCTTGGGCGGCTTCTTTGTGCGATGCTTACATCTGCTTATCTGGCTAGCCCATGTACTGATGTTGTACGTAGATGATCTGCTTCTTTGGCAAAACGCTCGTGCACTTCCCCTCAGCGCCTCTTTGGTTTTGGCTTTCTGCTCCTGCTTCAATATACCGCTTAGCTGGCGCAAACTGCAGATGGGACCCTCTATAACCTGGATAGGGTGGCAGCTCGACTTCCACGCAGGCTGTTTTACTCTGCCCGAGATTAAACGCTTGAAGCTGCTTTCGCAAGTGGAGGACTGCCTGAGGCATCGACTTGTCACCCGCAAACAACTGGACAAACTGCTTGGGTTACTGCAGTGGATTTTGCACGGGCTTCCTGCTTTACGACCCTGGCTGTGTACACTATATGACGACATGCACAGACCACTTGGCACGAATGTAAGCATCAGCCCATGCTCCTGGCCAGGTATCCACACATACTTGGACGACAAGCTCCGCTTCACTGGGACACCGCCGGGCACCAGCATTTCTGAGGGGTCCACTTTGCTTTCAGCTCGGCACAAGACTCTACATAGCAAGGCTGATCTCGCTTTAGTCCCGGTAAGCACCAAACGCATGTGGCTTCGTGTTACAGACCCCACTTCTTCGAAGCGACGCCTCTCGGAGGCCAGCAGAGAAACGCTCTCTTTCTTTGCCCACTTGAGCTCCAGGGAATGGCGTCCACGACTGCTGCGACCACCACCTACTTGTTCCGTGGAGTCAGCAGCCGATGCCTTCGGCAAGGGCAACGACTGTGGCGTGGGGGGATGGCTCCTTCTCCCATGCGGCCGACTGCTTTGGTTTGCTCATCGCTATACCGTGCAGGACTTTCTTGAACTCGGTCTGCCCATGCAACCTGACGCCAACTTGGACATCTCCAGCTACGAGACGCTAGCACAGTGCTATGTTCTTCTCGCTTTCTGGAAGGCCCATGGATCTGGTCGCTTGGCTTTGACATTACCAGCTTTGAGCCATAATAGTGGTGCTGAGTCGGTGTGTAACAAGCTTTACACCTCTAAAGTACCACTTAATCTTTTTGTCCGCAAGCTCTCCATGTGGAGCTCTATTACCGGTGTCACTTTGGTCTGCAGCCACATCGCTGGCGAAAAGAACGACGATGCAGACCTGCTTTCGCGGTGGGACGGCTGCGCAGAACTTCCGGCCAAGTTCCTGCCATCAAACCGCATCGAGCTCTACCTTTCTGAATTCTGGCAGATCCGCTTTCAGGTGAAACTTTTTCCAGCTGACACATTTTTGAAATGGCAGCTTCCGTCAGCCACCAGATTGGGCCCGACAAACCGAGGCTCCAACAAGCGCAAGTAGCTATGCTTTCAGGCTTCCTCACCTCACTTCTCCACTTGGCTTCTAGAGCGTCTGCGAGGTTTCGGCTTGCCAGTTTCTTGCTTGGGCTTTTCGACTGCTCCGCTGACGCTCCAGCTCAGCTTTCTATCCGGAAGGTCAAAGACCCCGGACACTTTCAAGGACAGAGCAGTCGAGTTTCCGGCAAGCCGAAAGAAAAGGAGAGAAGTGCGAGTGAAGCCACTGTTGACCTTTACTTTCCGCTTTGACTTCGCAGTAGCCTCGTAGCCTTTTGGTGTTGCGTGGTGTAGAACTGTCCTGAACGGTTCCTGTGTTCACTCAGGGTTGTTTTGGCAGTTCTCATCCCGCGGCCCCGCTTGGGTTCAAGCATACACCACGCAACAGCTGCTTGCTTTTCAAAACTTTCCCACCCGCCCACACCTGCTTGGGCAGCTTTTCAGCGCATGGAGCTTTTCAGTCATACAGCCCGCTAACGCACATTAGCCTGCTTTATTCTTCGGCTTTTACTTCTATTCGCTTTGCTTTTGCTTGGCTAGCCGATACGGGCTTTTCGACTGCTCCGCTGACGCTCCAGCTCAGCTTTCTATCCGGAAGGTCAAAGACCCCGGACACTTTCAAGGACAGAGCAGTCGAGTTTCCGGCAAGCCGAAAGAAAAGGAGAGAAGTGCGAGTGAAGCCACTGTTGACCTTTACTTTCCGCTTTGACTTCGCAGTAGCCTCGTAGCCTTTTGGTGTTGCGTGGTGTAGAACTGTCCTGAACCGCAAAGCGCAGGCTGCAGTGCAGTGCAAGCAGTGCCGCTCCCAGGACGAGGCGCGTAGTCAGCGGTGCTTGGCTGTCACAGACGCGGCGTTCCCAGCTGACCACCAACGCTAGCGGTATGGGCAGGGCCTCCCGACGATCTTTGGCTGAGCTGGAAAAGGTGTAGGCGGTGATGACGGGGCTGCAGAGGGCGGTGCCGAATGCCTGCCACTGTGCATGCTTGGCTAACCATCTTAGGGCTTTGATGCACGACGGCACCGTCATTTGATGGATTTCACGGTCTTGCTTTGCGGAGGCACGGGCCGCCGCAGCTATGAAGTCCAATATGACGTGCAGGGCAAGTGCAGAGGGCAGTATGCAGGAGCTGTGCAGAAAAGCAAAGAAATTAAAAGTGACCCGAAAGTAACGTTCTAGGGTACCCGGCGATGCGAGCATGTGTTGCTGCGCCTGAGAGCTTTGCTGCAAAGCCTGCCAGAGCAGGGAGGCACCTGCCAGGATGCCCACAATCTGGACCCAGGCCGTGTGGCAGGCCTGGCGGCGCATGTCATGCTGGCGGCGGCTAGAGGACATCGGGACCCCTTGTACCCTAGGGACGGGGATGGGCTGTTGGGTATACTAGGAGGAGGGGCCGGTGCAGCTGCAGTGTGGCCGTGGGCCGCTGCCTTTGCCGGGCTCGATGCTTGGCTGGGCTTGAGGCTGCGTGGCATGGCCCGTGCAGGTGGCGGGGGCCCGCCCCCGCGACGCAAAGGTGGTGCATAACCCAACTTAGGGAAAGGCTTATTGGGGCTAGGGCAACCCGAGGCCGGGGCAGGGTACTTGACCACCCGACGAGGCGGTCGCGACAGGCCTTGCGTGATGCTGTGCGGGAGTCTGGGCAGGCTGCCTGAAAAGTCCACTCGGATAGTCATTGGCGGGGGCTGTGGCGATTTGCTAGTCAGAGGCATTATCGGGGGCCAGGCTGGGGTATCCGGCATAGTCGGCTTAGGGTCCTTATACTAGGCGCAAAGGCAGTGCTGTTTGCGATGCGGGTGTGCCTGGCGAGCTGAGGTCGTCTTCTGAAGCCGACTGCTCGGCCTCGAAGAAACCTAAGAAAACAGGCATGTGCGATGGTTCATCGTGCCCACCAGCGGGGTTCCAGCGAGTAATTCCGCCCGCCTCCAGTCTGAATGCACGGCGCTGCGCGGCAAAGTCGGAAGAAGGGCAAGCTGCGCCAGCAGCAAAGGGACGACCTCCGCCGCCCAGTCATCCAAAAGGGAGGCGTCAAGTCGCAAAAGGTCCTCATACCTGCGGAAGCCATGGTCGCCTCGAGGACCCCCGTGCTCGCACTGGGCCAAGAAGTGCGCCAGAGCATGCGCGGCAGGAGCCCCAAATCACGGGCCCCGCGACCTGGCTGGGCAGCAAAGACCGAGAAGCCACCCTGTGCGTCTGTGGAGGGCTCCGACACAAAGATGACGCCCGCTCGGGTGATATCTTGGGCACGATGAGCAAGATCACAGCCACCTGGGGAGTATCGTCCCAGAGCGAGCGGCATTGTGCTGGCGAGGGTGCGGGCTCCTCCTCACAACCTTGGGCAGGTGCGGACTGCAATACAGCCGCAGACGACACTATAGCTCCTGGAGGTCCCGCACCGCACTTCGAACAAAGACGTGGGCGCCGCATCGTGATCCGCCAGCAAAATGTGCTTACCGGGAAGCAGGGCAGAGAGCAGCCAAAGCGCATACACCTTGCCCCACCAGATAGGGGAATCAGTAAGAGAGGTGTCCTCATTGATGGGAATAAAGAGAGCGGAATGTCGCTCCCTGGTGCCTCCCAACCCAGCGACACGCTTGATAATGTGCGGTGGGGTATGCTTGGCATGCTGATAAGCACTTCCGCAGTGTCCGTGAACAGCCAGGCAGCATCACTCAGGAGAAGCCTTTCGTCGGGCACGTCCGCCTAAGCCACTCGCATTGCCGGGCAAGGCAGCCTGCCTCCGCCGCGTCCCTCCTCCTGCTCCTCCCGATCCTGCTGCCGCCGCAGCCGCTGGAGAACAGCCCGACCCGGCAGCCCGCCCCGCCAACCCGCACAACCCGCACGCCGAGCGCTCCGACAGCCACGAGTCCCACACCCGGGCCGATGATGTCGCAGCCGCGGCCCCGACGGCCAGTGATGACGAACTTCTCGCAGCCGCCGCGCAGCGAGCCCGCGCGGCCGGACGAGGCAGCGGACGTGGCCGGCGTGGGCGCGGACGTGGACGCCAGACCCTCGCTGCCCCGCGTGCCGATGCCCTTCAGCCCAACCCCCTGCATCCGGCCAACCTGAGGCAACCAACACACGTCGGTCACAAGCCACTGCAGCTGCAGAAGCCGGCCTGCAGCTTGGTCTTGCAGCCCTCGATGCCGTTTGCTTGCAAACAACTTGCCGTGAGCGTGTTCTCACGTTGCAGACTGCCCCCGCGCGCGTCCGCGGGTGCTTGCGCGCTGCCCTGCAAACAGGGCTCCGGCTCGCAGTGCATCCGTCCATATATCCGTCCTGCCCTGAGGACGAAGTGCGCGGCTGGAAGCTTTCTGCCTCGCACCCCGGATGCTGCTTTACCACTCGCCTGGCGACTCCCGAGTGCCCACGGCGGAGTTGGACAGGAGGAGTTGGACAGGCGCTGTGATGTGTTTCGAGCAGAGCTATGGACCGACCTGCGCGAGGCCGCTGCGGCACTCGCCGCCGCGCCAAGCCCAAGGCCTGCAGACCCTGCTGGTGAGGCGGCGCGCACGCACGTGGCGCAACGGCTCTTGTCCACCTTGGAGAGCTGTCCGCTGCCGGACGATGTCGGACGCGCCGTGACAGCAGAACCGCTCGCTGTGCAGGCAACAGCAACACCCTCGCAGAGCTCCGCGACCCCCAGCGACGACCGCACGAGCTCTACGCCCCGTTGCCGCAGGCCCCGCCTGATCAAACATGCCCCCTGCCTCTGCAGACCTTCTTCGACAGCTTGCGGCTCGTCGCGGCTCCGCTGCCAGCCCGTCCGGCGCCACCAACGAGCACATCCGCGTCTTGCTCGACGACGAAGAGGACGCCCGTTAGCTGCATGGCACCACCCTTCGGCTAGCCAATGCGGAAGTGCCTTTCGCTGTGCTCGACGGCATCCGTGTCGCGCCTCGCCGCACTGCGCAAGCCCAACGGCAGGGTCCGTGCTCTCGCAGTCGGGGATGTGCTGCTGCGTCGTTTTGTCGGCCGGGTGCTCGCGCAGCATTTCGCCCCTCATTTCCAACAGGCCTTTATGCGACTAATTCACTCCGTAGGCGCTCAGTACAGCTCCCGTCCCAATGTGAAGAGCTTTTCATGTCATAATCCGTAAAAGAATTCGTGGGGCTCATGGTGACAACATCAGTGAACAAGCATCTGTATGCCAGTCTCTTTCAACAGATGGGCAAGACATGGTTGATCCAAGTGACTGTCATTGCAGCCGCATACACCCACACACACTACTGCACAGTGTGGCGGTGCTAATATCGCAAGGCCCCACTATGTGAGAGGCTTGCGCCCAAGACATCCCACCTCCTTCATCGAAGAGTCTGACACGCACTGATGAATGACCGCCATACTGCCCGGAACCCCCTCGGGCCCATGACAGTCCATGACCGCCACACTGACTGAAAACTGCAAGGCGCTCGAAAGAGAAGACCTCCCGTGCCCGCAAGAAGCACCACCACCATGAGCCCACATCCCCGTAAGGTGGCCAACACAGTCAGCAAGGACCGAAAGTGTAGCATCACGGCGCGGAGGAATACTTGAGCATACAACCAAAGCCGCATGGACGGATGCATCCACGACACATCCACCACCGTAGCGCTGGCAAAGGGATGGGATGTAGCCGGCAGGGAGGCGCTGACGTTAGTGACCAGGCGTTGGATTTGATCATGTTGTGCCGTGATGTCCACGTTGAGGGCTTGCCACAGCGCATTGGCCCACTGGGGCACAAATCGCACCTCAACGTACCGGAATGCAAACATAAGGTTCCCGTTGGGCAGCACGTAAGCCGAACCAGTAGCCGTCCAAAACAGGCCATCCACTTCCAAATCTGAAGCCGTTGATGCGATATGTGGAAGCGCAACGCCGACAGAAGTAACCAGTGAAGCCCACAGAATGAGCACCTCGGAGCGGTTGGTTCGTGTGGCGGCATGCCCGCTCAGAGTTGAGCCAATCCGCCAACACCGAGCCATCAGCACCCATTCCGTGGAAGTGCAGCGGAGGTCCAAAAGATCCACGCCAAGCCACGTGGTGCGCATGAGGTCGAGCGAACCAGTGGTGAAGGCAATAACCGCTGAAGAAGTGGTGAAGGCCAGCTCGGCGCCATGATCCAAAACCACTGTTGCTGCTACCGAGGCTCGCTCTGAGACCAAAGCCACGGAAGCCAACAAGCGAGTTAGCTGTTCGAAGAAGCCCCACTGAAAGCACTGAGCCAGAAGAAGCAGCATACAGATCCAGAAAGCACTATGCCTGCTGAACCTTGAAAGCCGCGTCCACCACCGACCCAGGCGAGAGCGCAATAGCGCTCGGTGAGGACGAAGACGAGGTGTTGCCGTAGGTGCCTAACGAGGATGTGACACGCCTCGCCGAGGATGGTCGCTGCGAAGTTTGCCTGAGCTTGTTAGCCCCGGGCGTCCGTGCCTTGGTATGACGAATAGGTGGTTGGGCATGCCGTCCGCGACGTGAGGGAAGGAGCCTGTGGAAGACCTTGAAGCGTCGGGACAGCTGGGATTTCGAAGCCGTCAAAATCCAACACTTGCTCATCCATCTCGCGACCGGAAAACTCCAGGAGGAAAGAAATCAGCAAAATGCGTCTCACTGTAGGCCTCGCAGGAAGTCGAGCCGAAGGGACAGGAACCTGCGCTAAGGCACTGAGTGATTGCATCAACTCCGTAGGGGCTGTCCCGTGAGCGCCCACGTTGCTGGTCCCATGCTCTGGCATTATATCTCCTGCACTCGGATCGCCAGCGACATCTTCAGCTTGCTCGGCTGGGTGAACTGCAAGTCGGTGGTGTCGAAGGTATATCTGCGCAACAGCTCACCGAACAACGGAAACATTCCAATGCCGCACACCAAGCCGAGTCGCTGGCGGCCAGTCCACGTTCCGTATTTGATGGCAGCGATGCACAAAACTGCCAACAACCAGCATATCCCGACAGCTCTCAAACGCCATTTAGCCAGCGGCCAAGTCTGGCTTGCTCGCAATGCTTCCAGCAATTCTGCACATGACTCTTGCCAGGCCTCTTCGTCTTCTGACAAGCATGGAAGACGCGTCGCTGACTGAGTGCCCTGCGTCGCACTTGACCACAATTCCCACATCAGCGAGCTGAAATCTTCGACTTCCCAATCAATCTCGTATGGCTGCGTCAAGCCTCCAAGCCCGCTGAGTGCAGCTGAGAAAGCGGAACGCTCTTCTTCGAGATTGGTGGGCCGCCTCCTTCCCACTTCTTGCCTGGCAAGTCGTACGGCTTTGTCGAGCACTGCATCGGTTTGGTCCGCCAAGTCCCGACTTAGCAGAACTTGACGTAAGGCAGCGCGAGTGCTGCCGGCAACTCTCATGGCAATGAGCTGTCTAACGACTTACCTCACCCCGTTTGAGAGCTTGAAAAAGGCTTCACATGAAAATCTCATGCGAGGCTGAGACTCGCACACTCATCACATTGCCGCAAAACGATCTCTTGTGCACGAGAGGGCTTTTCGAGGCATTTGCTGCCCCACCCTTGTCTCACACACTTAAACTCCGCAGCAACATAAACCATCGTGCGAGATTGCTCACGCCGAACTTTGGTGCCCAATCCCACTCCTAAACAAAATATGAATTTAGGGCACGATGCAGAAGGCCGTAAAACATCTTGTTCATGCAGCCTGAGTAACTCACTAGGGCGTAGGCCTGTGAGGCACTGTACCACAAGGCCCACTCCCAAGCAAGGAAATCCAACTGCCACAAAGTGCACTGCAAACAGTTTTGCTGGGCCTGAAAGCAAGGGCGACGTGTGTCTGATCGGGGTTACTCGGCACAAGCCCTTGGCAGCGCGCTTGGAGTACGGAAGCAGCCCTTTGAGAGGCAATAAATGGAACTCCAACGCCGCGATTCGCGATCAACTGCTCCAGTTTTGAATGCGACAGGTGGTTGGAAGACTTATACTGCAAAATCAGGAGGTCCAGTTCTGCAGCCGAAGCTGGATTTGCACCCGAGTCGAGAAGGAAAATCACAAATCGCTGCAAGCACTGCTGATAACTGTTGTATGTAGACGCCTTGACTGAAGCAATATGGTGTGGATCCAGCTCACGAGGGAGGCATGCGAAAGCAAATTGACCTCCACTCATTCTTGATTCTTTGAAGCGCCGTCCGCGGGCATAATGGATGTCTGTACCCAAGGCAACAACAAGCGAATCTGCGATGCCAAACACAAAGCAGCTTTCTTCCTACAGTACACGTTATGGCCCCACGAAGAAGACCTTCCTCTAGTAAGCACAGCTTTACACACCATATTGTCTTGCAACGAATACCAAATTGTGCCATGACGTGCGGGATCGGAAGTGACCCAACGAAGAGCTTTCCATACTGCTCGCGAATGCTAATGTGGTCGGGGGCCTTCCACCGACCTTTCAAAACCACAGTCCATTTGGACTCGGAAAATAAAGCAGCTGGAAGCAACGAGAACGGGATTGTAGGAGTTAAAGCTCTGTCAGGAAAGGGCATACCATCAGTCACATCGTCATGTAAGTTCAATGCGAGCCCCAGCTGCTCTGAGTTTGCCCGGAGTGCTGCTAACTCAGATTCATCAACCTTGGTCACGCAAATGCCGAAACCCCCATGGTCAATTTCATTGTGTCCCATGGCATCCGTTGCTAGAACTTCCGAAGAAAATGGCATGCTCACATTCAAAAACATGAGATCAACTGCAGTGGCCATGTGTATGAGTTCTTGGCGGACCGACGGCCAAAGCCTGACCGTTAAGCCATCAAATTTGTCAATGAAGTTGTATACTACGAAAAGGACTGCGTACAGGTCGCGCCTCAGCTGTGCTCCGAAAGACCAAAGACCAATCACGGCTCGAAGGACAGAAACCTCAACCCGACGTTGCCCTGCCAACGCTCGCAAAGCTCGCTGTAGTAAAACCCTCTTTCTCGGAGGCAAGCTGAATGTGCTTGTACTTGGCGACCATGCGTACCCGATCACCTTGACCACTTCATTGGGCGGTATTCTTTCCGGCACTACAAAACCAATCTCCTCCATGGAATCGGCCACGGTGTGCATCATGTTTGAAGCTGACAAGCTACATGACTCCGTGCTGAACGCTAATGTGTCATCCACGTGTAAATTTTACAAACACCTGCCTGTGTGGAGGAAAGCAGTGTTTTACGGCCAGCCGTCGAGCTACTGCTGGTGGGATGCTGCTGGTGCCTGCAGGGACGTGCCGCAAGGCGAGGGCTGCGAGCAAGGCGATGCTCTCGCTCCGGCACTGTTTGCGCTCGGACAGCACGACGCTCTCTGCCGAGCAGCAGCCGCGTTGCATCCCGACGATGCCCTCATGGCTTTCCTCGACGACCTCTATATCGTCACGGTGCCCGAGCGAGCTCGAGCGGCCTTCGACAGCACGACTGGAGCCGTCGCAGACCACTGCGGCATCGCCTCCAACCTCGGCAAGACCCGCGTTTATGCAACCGAGGCAGGGCCCGCACCCCCTGGCATATCGGAGCTGGGCGATGCGGTCTGGCGAGGCAACAAGCCGCCGGCCGAGAGAGGCGTTGTAGTCCTCGGCACGCCCATCGGGCATCCAGACTTCGTCAGCCAGTGGGCGGCGGAACGCATGTCGGAAGAACGCCGCTTCCTGCAACAGCTGCCCTTGCTTCCGGACCTGCAGTGCAGTTGGCTCCTGCTCTCCATGTGCGCGGCCCCCCGGGCGAACCACGCGATTCGCACGCTGCCTCCGTCCGAATCGCGAGGGTACGCGCAAGCGCACGATGCGGACATCTGGGAGACTCTGCGGTCCTGCATGGGCGGTTTCACAGAGGCTGACTCGCACAACGCATGGTCCATCGCCACTTTGCCTGCCGTGCATGGCGGACTGGGCTTGCACTGCGCAGAGCGCACAGCCCCCGCGGCGTACTGGGCGGCCTGGGCAGATGCGCTGCCTGTGATCCACGCTCGCGCGCCCGACTTCGCACACAGATGCGTCGCAGCACTTGAGGGCCGCGGCGGAGAAGCTGCGTGCCTTCGCGAAGCGGCGGCGGCGCGGGTTCTTTTGCAGCAGGAAGGATGGCGCGCCTGCCCTGCATGGAGCTCTCTCCTCGAAGGCACGCGCCCAACCCCGGCGGGAGACGCAGGCCCCGGGGACTGGCCACATGGCTGGCAGATGCACGCTTCGCGCACACGCAACACTCACTTTCGCGAGCGCGTGCTTCTGCCGGACATGTCGCCCGGTTCTCAGGCGCTTCTGCGGCCCCAGGCCGGGGCCCAGGCGGGCGCTTGGCTCGCTGCGATCCCAACTGAGCCGGCCACCACGCTACCACCTGCCGCGATGCAAATCGCATTGCGACGCAGGTTGCGGCAGCCGCTGCCCCTGCGAGGGAACACCTGCGGCCCGAACCCTGGGTGCGGCGCAGCAGTCGATGCTTTAGGCGACCACGCACTTGCCTGCCCTCGCACCGGCCTGCTGGACAGACGAGCTAAGCTCGTGGAGAGAGCGTGGGTTCGTGTCGCGAGAGAGGCGCTGGGGGCGGAAGGGCAGGTCGTGCCACAGCAATGGCTGGCCCACACCACGGCGCCTGGCGTGCCAGCCGCAGACCGGCGCCGTCTCGACCTGGTTGTGTACGGCGCGACGCGCAGCGGCGGAGCCTTGTGCTGTGACGCCACGCTCGTGTCTCCCTTGACACGCACGGGACACCCGCAACCTTGCGCAGCGGTGGTCGACGGCGCCGCCCTCAGGGTAGCAGAACGCCGGAAGCTCAGTACCTACCCGGAGCTCTCCAGCGGCGGGCCGCAGCAGCTCGTCGTGTTGGGCTCGGAGGTGGGCGGGCGCTGGAACGACCAGGCGCGCGCTTTCGTACGAGACCTCGTCCGGTTGAAAGCTCACCGGGCCCCGCCCGCACTCCGTGCAGCGGCGTCAGCCGGCTGGGCGAGGCGCTGGTGGGGCTTGTTGTCCGTTGCGGTGCAGCAGGCCGTCGCAAGCACGGCACTGGGCGTTTGGGAGCAGCCACTGCAACCAGAAGCCTGTGAAGGCCCGCCGCTGGACACCCTGCTCCACCATGAAGCCCCCGCCGGCCAGAGTCGCCTGCCGTTGCGGCCCTGACGCGAGTAGCGTAGTCAGTAGCCTCCGGCAGACTAGTTAGCTGCGACCGCGGCTAGAAGCTTTTTCGTCGGGCAGCTCGAAAAGTCCGCTTCATTAAAAAAAAAAAAAGCAGTGTGCGCCGTCCATGAACCACCTGTTCATTGAGAATGTCAACTCCCGCCGAATGCATCTGCGAATGTGAGAAGGACCATGCTGTCGGAACTGCTTGGACCCCCACCGGAAGTAAGTAACCAGTGGGGCCCGAGCCTTCTGCCACCATACGCTGAGCACTCTTCACGATGCACCTGGCCAGAAGTTCACACATGGCTGGCGGGTACGCTTGAAGCCGCTTTGTCCGAAAAGAGCCGTGCTCATCAAGCCCTGTAGCATGCCCTGCATGAAAGTGCCCTGGACCAACGCCCGGGCATTGAAACCGCTCGAACTCGCCAATGCCGTGCAGTGTTCCTGACACAGTTGTACCCTTCTTAACTGGCGCCCCACAAGCGCACTGATCAAAAGTGACTCGCTGTGCTTTCGTACGCAATTCCAATTGGATCATCTCTGGGGTGATCCAAATGGAAGGGAAGGGCTCACTCCCTGGGTCTTCAGGATGTTCAAACAAGTGGCAACCTCCTCGCGCGGATACTTTTTCGCAAGCCATCATGAAATGTAACCATAACCGGTTGGCCTCACGGAGTCTTCCAGATTCAGCGGTAGTGAGGCCTGTGCGTCCCCATGGGCATGAACGGAAGCGCAACGGTCTTGGAAGGTTGAGTGCCTCACCTCCGCGGCGATGTCTGGCTCGAGACACCGTCGAGCATGGCGGACCCCCGACGATCAATATAGCCTTCCAGCATACGCATGATGTCATGAAAGGTTTCCGGCTGCGCAACATCCCAGCGAGAGTCACAACCAAGGTCAACTGTGATCATCAACACTTTGAGGTTTGCCTCTGCGGCGAGCTTTTCGACATATTCCTGCACGTCACCGTCTGTGCGTTCCCCTCCGAAGAAGTTCATGACAACAATCGTGCGGTCGCTGGATGAACGCGCTGCGCGGATTGCATCCCACCACTCCTGCACGGAGTAGCCCGAATCGAAACGCGGTCGAACTCCAACTTGAAAGCGAGACCACCATTCATCATCACTGCAGCCATAAAACGAATACTCACACCCTGATGTTTCAACCGCTGTACTTGGCTCTTCTACATGCGGAATGTCATCTTGGCCTGTGCCCATCGAGGCATTCGCTCGCAGGGACCGCCCTATGACCTGCAGGTTGATCATCATTAGAATGTGAACAGAATGGCTACAGCCCATCGGTAACCGATTGTAACATGGAGATACCAAGTCAAATTCACTGATGGTCGCCTTTAGGCTGTCAGGCAGCAATCCCCAGACCGACCCAGCAGTGATAGGGGGAGCGGCTAGATACGGAATCATCCAAGCGGGCACTGCTACCCGTGTGAAAGCTTGTCGCCTGCACCCACATGTATGCGAGTCAGGGCTCCAGCCCCTTGCATCCCTAGAGAAGAACGATTTCGAGGGTCGCAGAGCAAATAGTTGAACGAACAGCACATAAGCAACTTGCGCTGAGAACGCCCATCTTTCTTGGGAACCACCGAAAAGCCAGCGACTGCTTTCACATCACGGAAGCACTTCCACTCCCACATGTTTGTTGGAATGTCCTGCCGATGAAAATACTTCAGGTACTCATCGAGGCTACCACCAACGAAAGCATACTGCTGTTCCAGTTCTTGTTGAATGACAGTACTTTTACCCAGAAGTTCGACGACGTTCTCTTCGCGTGCATAAAATTGACGTTCATCTTGCGGAAGTGCTTGCAACATGTCGACTACTTGTTCATCCGACGGCTCAACAATGCGAGAAGCGTCCATGGGCACTTGGGCATGCGTCTTGGAAACCGTCGCATAACCCATCGCATCCACCTTCGCGGATTTGACGAGCGCCGCGACGGCCGGCTGCGCCTGTCGGAGGGACCTCCCGGCGGGCCCGGAGACCATCTTTGCTAACTTGAAGCAAATGTCTCCACACAGCTTTCTGGGCCTGGTTCGGTTCATCAACCAGCGCTGCCCCATAAAGCTTCTTGGTGTGTCTATTGGTGCCCACATGCATGAAATTCAAGAAATGAATCAAACCGACTGCGTACTTCCAAAGCCGCAACTTCTTAGTATACCTGTTGCGCGATCGTGCTGAGGTCGAGGCTGGGATCACGGGTGGCGGAAGCAACGGCAACGGAAACACTTCACCATCAGCGGAAGAAAAGGCTGTCTGTGTGCTACAAGTAGCAGGTGGTGTCACCCTCCTGGAGCGGACAGCGGCCCCAAGAGGGCCACCATCACTTCAACCTTGAGTGGCTGTAGACGGCGCCTCGCCGCCTTTGGGGCGTTTGTCACCTCGCCCCCGACCATCTCCTTTCGATGAGCCTTTTGCTTGACCACTGGTGCCCTTAGCGTCGCCTCGTTGCGCTTTGGCCCGCTCACGCCTCTTATGCTCACTCTGAGCAAATAAGGCAGCCTCTGACACCAGCCATGCCGGAGCAATGTCATGAGATAGGTTGGTAGGTTTGATGGCGAGCATGGACACTGCCGCATCACGATCACCGGTTCTTTTCTCATGCACATACGATGCCAGTCTCCTCAGAGCCACTTCCGCAGTATCGCTGCGAGCAATCAGAGATAATGCTTGAGCTTGGGAGCCCTTCGCATCCTTCACGGCGAAGTCCACCAACGAAGCTTGATTGAAGAGGTCCAAATATAGCGCATCTCCTCGACGATCAAGCGGAATCATCTGATTGAGCCACTCCCTGGCACTTCGGGCTCCGGAAGCACGAAAGGACGCATAAATTTCTGGGCCTGCCCGTTTCATGTCTGGCGGGAGACTGGCCTCCCAACCTCCGGCATCCTCCTCATCTATCTCTGTGTCGTGTGCATCCAGCAAACCATTGTCAAACAGAGCCGTGGAATGAGCCAACGCACCACTGCTTTCAAGCTCCGCAAGCTTTTCTTTCAGCTCCGCGACGCGCGGAGGTGTTCCGCTTCCATTTCCGAGATAACCGAATGACTTGAGCAACGCCTCCACACGATATTCGAACTTGCCTTGCTCACCGACTTCCTTCCAGAAGCTACGCGACCAACTTGGAATGAGGGCCGCACGAGCCGACCACTTGACCAATAAGTTCTTCACAACTCGTGCTTGGGATTGAGTGGCTTCAATGGCAGCCATGGAAAGCGGAGCATACGTGGCGTGCTTATGGTCAATTTCTGACAAGGACGCCCCCTTGCCCGGTGCAGATTCCAAAGCCTTGGAGCTGAGCCGCGCCAGCTGTTCGCATTCGGGCTCATCACCGCGGAGCTGTGCAACCTTCAAAGATGTGCCCAGGACCTGGTACAGCATCGCACCACTGCACAACGCAATGTCCACGAGGCCGGAATCATGCACAGAGACAACTGCACCCAATTCATCTTTGAAGTCTTGGTACGGAGGCGTGTCAGTCACGATCACGGCCTGACCTAGGGCAGGGCGCCAGCGAACCGTGGAAGCCGCAGGAAGTCGAGCCGAAGGGACAGGAACCTGCGCTAAGGCACTGAGTGACTGCATCAACTCCGTAGGGGCTGTCCCGTCAGCGCCCACGTTGCTGGTCCCATGCTCTGGCATTATAACTCCTGCACTCGGATCGCCAGCGACATCTTCAGTGCGCCTGCTCGGCTGGGTGAACTGCAAGTCGGTGGTGTCGAAAGTATATCTGCGCAACAGCTCACCGAACAACGGAAACATTCCAATGCCGCACACCAAGCCGAGTCGCTGGCGGCCAGTCCACGTTCCGTATTGGATGGCAGCGATGCACAAAACTGCCAACAACCAGCATATCCCGACAGCTCTCAAATGCCATTTGGCCAGCGGCCAAGTCTGGCTTGCTCGCAATGCTTCCAGCAATTCTGCACATGACTCTTGCCAGGCCTCTTCGTCTTCTGACAAGCATGGAAGACGCGTCGCTGACTGAGTGCCCTGCGTCGCACTTGACCACAATTCCCACATCAGCGAGCTGAAATCTTCGACTTCCCAATCAATCTCGTATGGCTGCGTCAAGCCTCCAAGCCCGCTGAGTGCAGCTGAGAAAGCGGAACGCTCTTCTTCGAGATTGGTGGGCCGCCTCCTTCCCACTTCCTGCCTGGCAAGTCGTACGGCTCTGTCGAGCACTGCATCGGTTTGGTCCGCCAAGTCCCGACTTAGCAGAACTTGACGTAAGGCAGCGCGAGTGCTGCCGGCAACTCTCATGGCAATGAGCTGTCTAACGACTTACCTCACCCCGTTTGAGAGCTTGAAAACGGCTTCACATGAAAATCTCATGCGAGGCTGAGACTCGCACACTCATCACATTGCAGCAAAGCGATCTCTTGTGCACGAGAGGGCTTTTCGAGGCATTTGCTGCCCCACCCTTGTCTCACACACTAAAACTCCGCAGCAGCATAAACCATCGTGCGAGCACTAACTCAGCATGCCTCACCAGTACGGTACGGCCTGAGCACGCGCACCGGCACGGAAGCAGTTAGCCGTCTGCTCCGCGCGGCCACGGAGGCACCCCCCCGCGCCACAGTTCTTTCGGTTAATGCTGTTGGCGCCTTTGACCACGTCTCGCGGGGATCCATTTTAGCCGCGCTGCATTCCCGGCAGCAGCTGCAACCTGTGCTTCCCTACGCACGGCAGTTCTATGCCACGCCTATAGCGTCTACACCTGGTTCGACGAAGATGGCCGCGCGCACGAAGTCAGTCAGGCCGAGGGCGGCGAGCAAGGCGACCCACTGATGCCGGCATTGTATGCATTGGCGTAGCACGCCGCGCTCGCTGACCTTTCAGAGCCAGCTGGGTGACGGAGAGGCCGTCTTCGCGTTCCTTGACGACGTGTATGTTGTGTCGACACCCGAGCGCACACGCGCGCTCTACAACGCCCTCCATAACGCTTTCCGGCACCGCGCGCGGATCCGTCTCCATGAGGGTAGGACACGGATTGGAACTCGATCCGCCGGCGGGGAGCCGAATGCCATCGCCGATCTCTGCGGCAGGGGCGGAGCCGAACCTGTCTGCCGCCGGAGTGCCAGGGGCTGACCGTGCTCAGTTCCCCCCTGGGGCACGATGCCTTTGTTGCCGGGCACTTCCAGAACAAGCGCGAGGACCACGACCGGCTCCTCCAACGTCTTCCCAGCCTCGACGACTTGCAAGCTGCCTGGCTGCTGCTCCAGTCCTGCGCCGCTCCGCATGCCACCGCCGCGTATGCAACAGCTCACGATGCGGCAGTTGCCCACTGCCTGGCCGCGCTCCTTGAGCGCGAAGCTGCCCCCCTCCCGGAGCGAAGCCTCTGCACTGCCCCTCTCGCGCAACGATTCGGGGGGCTTGGCCTCCGCTCTGCGCTGCTTTGCCGCGCATTGGGCCTCCTGGTGCGATACCTTGCCCGTCATTCGCACGCGTGCCCCCGCTGCAGCGGCCCGCCTGCTTGGCGCCTTCCACGGCGACAGCGTTTTGCCCGTGTCCTCGCTTGGGCGCACCTGCGCGCTCTCGGCTGCTATACCCCTGACTGGGCAGCCGTCTGCGCCGGCACTGCTGCCGCCCCACCACCCCAGAGCAGCGGAGAAGCCTCACGCGACCCCTGGCCTTCAAGGGTTGGCAGCGCCTAGCTGCCCGCACCTGTAATGCGCGCGCTTATGAGACGCAGTTTACTGACTTCACACCCGCGGCTCGAGCGCTGCTGCTGTCACAGGCTGGGCCCTTCGCTGCCCGAGCCTTGAATGTCCTCCCCACCCGCGACGAGATCTCCATACCTAGCGCGCAGATCCTGGTCCACTGCGCCGCCTGCAGCTTCCCCTCCCCCTTGCTCCGCGCCGATGCCGCTGCCGCGGAGAGCTTGATGCGTTCGGCGACCACCGCTCAGCCTGCGCTACCTCGGGCAACCTCGCCACACGCGCGCTCCCTCGAGCACGCCGTCGGGCGGATCTGTCGCGAAGCCGGTGCTCGCGTCGCTCGCCACGTTCGGCTGGCTGACCTGAACCTCGATGTGCCGATCACGGACGAGCGGCGCACATTGAGGTTGTCGCCAACTGATTGCCTGTGTGGCATGGCTCGCAGCTCGCCGTGGACGTTACCCTCGTCTGCCCCCTTACGCGGCGCGGGGAGCCCCATCCGCTTGCCGACGCCCAACCGGGAACCACCGTCACGCGGCGCTGCCGCCTGGTTGTAGTTGGCCTGGAGGTTGGCGGCAGGTTTGGGGCCGATACAGTCCAGCTGCTGCGCCTCCTCGCGCGACACCGGGCCGCCGCAGTCCCCGCACACTTGAGGCCTTCAGCCACTGTCGCCTGGATCTCGCGCTGGTCCAGCCTTCTGGCTGTCGCATCCGAGCGCGCCTACGCCGCCTCGCTTCTCGAGCTCCCACCCGCGGCCGAGCTTGGCGAGGGACCCATGCCAGAGCTGCATGAGGTCCTATGGAGCCGGCCCCATTAGGTAGCGCGTCGTGTGCACTGGGACCGGACTTTCCCAACCTCGGCTGTCGTAAAGAGGCGCGTTGGAAAAAAAAGGGGATCAGCATAGCTCCCCGCCACTGTGATCCAGTAGGCCGAGGCTGGGCCTGGAGGCTGACTCTGCCGGTTGGAGACTGGAGCCTGCAGGCTGTCGGGCCGGGAGGTGGGAGACTGCTTGCCGGTAGTGGTGTTTGGACCCCATGCAGGGACGTTCCACGGAGTGGAGGAGGCTTGGATGGTTAGAGGGACTCCTGACTGGAGGCTGCACGCCCCTCCCGCCTGTGTGCGTCGTCAGCACCGGCCCAGTGCGCTTGCGCTACCTCTATTCTGCCAAGTGTCGCCGCCCCCTTCCTGGCCTTTTTCTGGGGCCCTTGCACCGTAAGAGTGAGGACCTGAGTGAGGGGGGGAGCGAGGGCTAAGCAAGGCGAGGGTGACTTGGATGACAGGTGGTTTCATCACAAGGTGGGGCCGAGGTACATCACAACCTGATGCTTTCGTCATGCAGCGTCATGCCGCGTCATGCACGTGCTCATTCAGGGCGGGGGCGTATCTGCCTGCACATATCACATGTGAATTTCTCCTAGACGACTGGCCGGAATGCACGGTCAGCTGACGAAAACCGGACATTGGCACGGTAGGGCTCATTGGCACAGTACGAGCAGGGCTCAACTGCATCTCGGCGGCATCTTGGTAGCCAACCTGCTCCACCGTTTTGGCGCCGCTGGCCTCGACAACCAAGGGCGCCAGTACACACGATGTTCAGAATCCTGCAAAGCATCAGCGCGGAACCGACGCCAAATCCAGGCGCGAAAAAACCGACACCGCTAGAACCAAAGAGACCTGGCTTCCGGCCTCGTGCGCCGGGAGGTGCCCTAGCTTCTCGTTCCACAGATCGCCTCTTCATGCAAGGCAGCTACCTCCTGCAACAAAGGATGCAAGCGTGACTGACTCAGCATTCATCGTTTGTTCGTAGTGTTCCCACTCCCCCCGGCCTCGCTTGTTTGCTCGTGCAGCTCCATGCAAGTGTGGGAGGCAAGGGGACGGGGCGTGGAGAGTGTTTTCAGAGCAAGTGCGGAGTGGAGCCCTTAACCGATCAAGCACGGGAACGTTGGCTAGATTCGACGCTAGGCCGCTAGGCGCGAACAACTATCCAAACACGCTTCTGCAGACATTGGGAAAATCGGCAAATTGTGTCTGCACCGTGCAACAGACATTCGGGTTGGATTTAGGGCGCTTCTTAGCATCTTGAACTCCGGCCGTATGGGGAGCGAATATTTATTTTGTGTATTTTCTATTTTTTCGTATATTTTCCTGGTTTTAGTTCTGTTCTCCTTGGTTTTCGGAATCTAGCCTGGTGGCCGTGACCGTTCTCCACCTCTGACTGGAGTTCCTTTTTGTGTATTTTTCTGTTTTTTTGTGGAATCTAGCCTGGTGGCCGTGACCGCTCTCCACCTCTGACTGGAATTCTTCCTTGCGTATTTGTTCGCTGTTTTCCTACAGCTTCCGTGTCATTTCCTGAGGTTTTCAGCAGGAAAACATACGTTACCTTGGTTATTCCTCGGGAAAATCGGCTTTTCGGTACACTTTCGCATTGTGTACGGATTTCGTGTTGTTGTTGTTGTTGCTACTGCTGGTGTTGATGATGTTGTTGATGTTGTCGTCGTAGTTCTAGTAGTCGCGGTGGTGGTAGTAGTAGTAGTAGTAGTTGTTGTTGTTGTTTTTTTTTTTTGTTGTTGTTGTTGTCGTCCGGGGGATAAGGCTGCGCAATTCGAGGAGCTTTGCGGCAAAGGGCGAATTGGAAGGGGGCCCGGGCCTTCGGTAAGCTTATTGGACCTATTGGTTGCCAATACTCTCCCCCACTCTCTTCGAAATCCTACAACCACGCAACCCCTTTTTTTGCTGGACGAACAGGGGAAGCAACACGCGTGAAGCCTTGACTCCTCACTGGGCGGGTGCCTTCTCATGTCTGTTGAATTGCGTCTGCTCTGCCGATCTTTCCAATTTCTGCATAAGCATGTTGGATAGGTGTTCGCGCCGAGCGTGGACGCAGCGCACGTTCCCAAGTCCTCAGAAAGAGTGTTCTTGATCGGTGAAGGGCTCCCCTCCGCACTCGCTCTGAAAACACTCTCCAACCCCCCGTCCCCCAGTTGCCCCCCACACTTGCAAGGAGCTGCACGAGCAGACAAGCGAGGCTGGGGGGAGTGGGAACACTATGAACAAACGATGAATGCTGAGTCAGTCACGCTTGCATCCTTTGTTGCAGGAGGTAGCTGCCTTGCATGAAGAGCCGATTTGTGGCATACCCTACACCCTAAACCCACTTGGTTGCGAGAGCGTAAACCCACTTGTTTCAGGCACACACTGCAAAACCGAGGGCGACAGCCGCGAAGGGGCCATCCCCACAACGCAAGTTTTCAAACCCGATTGTGTCCGGTCCACGTCCGCGTGCCGCTCGGTCCCAGGGCACCAGAAAGGCATTGGTTTCAGAAGATGTGGAGTTCATTTTGCGCGGCCATGGCTTTGACAGGAAGAAATCTTACAAGCCGCTTGTAGATTACAGGAACAAAGATGTGTTGAAATGAAGCTCCATGGACGCTCCATCAGCTCTTATGAAAAGCCATTTCGACAAATCTGAGCGACCCCAGAGCACGCTTTCACCCATGCATGTGCTCAGGCAGAGGGTCCCGCCGGGAAGGTTAGCTGCTTTCGGTTCTTACATGGTCCAGCTTGTAGAAGACACCAGAATTTGTATGTGTTCAAGCAGATCAACTCGTCATAGGCATCATAGGTAACTTGTTGAGCTGACGCACCGGGCCATGCGTGGTTCGGCAAGCAAGTTGGCGGAATGAGGTTTGAATGGAGCCGTTTTGCGGTCAAGCAGTTCAAGTTGTGGTTGTCGGGCAGCGGGGGCACTTCGTCGACTGTGAAGTTTGGCCCAAGCTAAGCCGCCCGCCGCTCTGCCCTGCCCCGCTCATGGCCGCGGTGCAGAGAAGCCTAACCGAAGGCATGGAGATGAATTTCGAAAGGACGGATGCGGGCGCGTCGCAGACTTATCAGCAGCAGGCTGGATCCATCACGAGAGGGTCTTATGTGATGCTCAAAGGCCATCCGTGCACCTTCGTACGAGACGAGTCCCTGTTTGTGTGTCTTTCTTTGGTGCTTTGCTTGGTTGCTTCTGTCATCTATTGGATTAAGCCCGGTTCAAGTCCGAGTTTAATTTTGCATGGTAATGCATTTCCCGTGCTGGCAGTTTTGCAGTTGTGAAAGTCACAGTACTAATTACATTGTATTGTCAGCCTGAACTTACCTTCTTTGTGTTTGGACAGCTCGAGCTGTCCCAGCTCCGACAGTCAGGTAAGATCAAGGAGGTGAGCACCTTCAGTCCGGGCAAGCATGGGCACGCCAAAGCACATTTGGTCGGGCTTGACATCTTTACTGGAAAGAAGTATGAGGAAACCTCACAGACGTCGCATAGCATGGATGTGCCGGTGGTCACAAAAACGGAGTATCCGTTGATGAACCTAAATGCTGACACTGGTGCTGTCAGTCTGCTTCAAGAACCTGGGTGCTGTGTTGGCAAGAATTTACCATGCTTGTTCCAAAATATGGGCCTTGTAATCCGAAGAAAGTCAAGCCACATCGTTTTTATCCTAACATCCATGGTGTGGATCAGGACAATGGTGAATTGAAGATCGACTTGAACCTGCCCGGAGCTGGTAAGTCCCATGAAGAGGACACACTCCAGGCTGATATTCTGCGGGCTTTTGGTAACGATTTATTGATCACCGTGGTGGTCATTGCAGCATGTGGTATGGAGAAAATCGTCAGCTTCACGGCCACCGACTAGGTGAGAAGGGTAGCTGCCCTGAGCCTCACTCAACTTCCGCCAATTTGAGCGGACGGATGTACAGATGTACAGGTCGGCACACAAAAGATCAGCACAAAGACATGTGTATGCCACTGACTGTTGTACATGACACACACAGATATATACATGTGTATATATATATATGTGTGTATATGCTACCCCCCCTATTGACCAACCCTGACTGCGCACTGTTTGCGTTTGTTCTCTCTCAAGAGGTCTTTGCAGTACATCCTCCTCGAAAAAACTTGCATGGCGCATTACCTTCGCAGTGGTCTATACAACAGGTATTCGTCTTCCTCTATGGACCAAGCCACGGCAGCATTCGACTTTATCACTTTAGGATGTTGTGCTATACGATAGGAAACCAGTGACCAGTTAGACAAGGTCTTGAGAAGAAACAACTTTTGGATATGTCGCAGCGGCCGTTTGGCGGCATGCGTGACTTCCTTCATCGACATCCGTTAGCGTAGGTTAGATGGGGAATGCTGAGATCTTGGGCTCTTCCTGGTTTGCCCTGTGTGAATCCTCATAGGGTTGTCTATAAGGCATTCTACATAAAGGGTACACAAGCGGATACAGGAGCATCAGATACAGGGGTTCTACCCAGGTGTATATACAGTAAGTGGGGCATGTTGTACAACGTATTCGACAAGAAGTATCAAATAATATATGGGGCATCCTACAGGTAATTTCATAAGGTATTCTTTCAGTCAATACATAGGGCACTCTACGAAGCATAGATACTCTATAGGATATTCTATGCAGCATTTTGCATTCTATAGGCCTTTGTGTATTCAATAAGGAATACAGGAGGCATACAGGGGTATTCTGCTCGGTGTTTTGTAGGGTCGTATAGATGAAATCCTTTTAAGTTAAAAAAAGGGGTTTTTCTAGAAGGTATTCTATAAAGAGGCAATTCTTCCAGATTCTTGATCTCTTTCATACAGATCCCTTATTGCACCTTTTCAACAAGCTACATTCCAACTCGGGAAGTCTCACATCTTGGGCTCCTCCTGATTTTCCGTAAAATGACCCTGCACCCTCGAGCATGCCATCCTTGACGTTGCATGCGGATGCTGGAGCGGCAGAGCTCGGGCCTGAAGGTGATGGAAACAGGTTCTGTTTTCATTTTTGAGAGAGTTGCGTCGTGGTTTGGGGCTACTTCAACGAGCTCAGGACCGCGTTGTATCTTTCCACAAATGCTCCCGTGATGTTGAGTTTGTGGTATTGTGTTTTTTGCTTCTCCTCTTTCATCCTCTTTCCTCTTCCCCCTCCACCTCCTCCTCCTCCTCCTCCTCCTCGTATCTTGTTTCGCTGTTCACGCAGACCGCGAATCTTTTCCATGAAAGCACTTGAGGAGTACAGGCTTAAAGCTGCGGGACCAACATGAAGGAGAGGGAGCAGCCGGGGTGGATTCTACAGCTCGCTGGCGTTTCCTTCATGTTTCAGACCCAAGCGGCCCAAGGTGTGCTTTGCCCGTCGCCACAATGCGATTTTGCCGTGCTGGAGGCGCAGCAGCTTTGCGATTGTTGAGTTTATTCTCGGTGGTATCCCGTACAGGCGGAAAGGTTGGTTGAACGAAGCCTCAGCTCAGTTCTGCCTGCTCTTTTCCGTGTCTTGATGCGCATGAGCCGACCAAGGCAGGATTGGCGCAAGTCTCGTGGAAAAGGATTCGTCAACACAGTACCACTGTAGGATACTGTAGGGGCTTGGGATTAGGATCCATTCCGCTCCACAACTTGTGCTGTTAATGGCACTCGGCGTAAGAAGCCGCCGAACTTCAACCGTATAGACCTTATGGAAGCCTGCTGGCTGCCCCACGCGGATGACGCGAAGTGCACCCATTCCAGCGCAAACACGGGGGACAAACTCCGCAGCTTAGCATCTCCGGCTCTTGAGGCATTTTAGGGGCCTTTAGGGGTGGAGGGCCTTTTTTTGGATTCTGGTGCCGGGTTCACTCTAGTATCGGCTGTGGGGTTTAGCATGCAGGGTCCTGAGTTTCAGTATCTGTTCCGTGTTGGATGGAGGCAGTTGGGTTCCGGAACTGAATTGGGATCAGGAAGACTGAAGGTGCTGGCAAAAAGAAAAACAGCACCAACAGCAGCTTGTGGATGATGTGGCAGTCGAAGCTGTAACACAGCGCAGCGGATGTGATGAGCCGGAGCCGTGAACGGAGAATGGTCGTGTGCACATTGTTTGGGCGAAGGTCTCACACCCGAAACCTGCCTAGGGTTTCGGGTTCAGGGCCTCGGACTCGGTAGTTGTGTGCCCTTTCTTATGCGCGCCTTCTGGGGCCTTGCGGGTCCATTCTTGATCTCTGCTGCTGTAGCTAGAAAGAAAGGCATAAGACTGGCCAGATAAAGAAGGAGTGATCTCCAAAAGCTTTCGTCCACCACCACAAACCTACTCTAGCAGAGGGCATCGACAAACATCATCAAGATGCACGACATCGTCGTCGACAGCATCAGAACGTTATAACTTATAACCATCGACAGCAGCAGGGCAAGGGTTCCATAACGGTTTTGCAGTGGAAATCAGTAAGTCTTCTAAAGTTTGTCATTCCATCAGGTGGGCTCCTTGACCTCGAAATTTCAGTAAAATGACGACAGATTTCCAGTGATGGCAGCGAGCGATCGTTGACTTGGTGCCATGCTCGTTCCGTGGCTTTTTCCTTTCACCAAAGCCTCCTCTTCCCGCTTTTTCTTGCTGGACGATGAGCGAGGTCTACCGGCTGCAAGATGCCCTGCAGATGTTTTAGCTTTCCTGGGATTTGTTCTGATGTTTGTCTTGCATCTTGGCATCATCAGGTTTGTCCAGACTTGTTGGCTGTGTTGACGGACAATGACGGACACATGTCACTGCAGGGGCTGGGGCATCAGCCAAAAACCTCACTCTCGCCAGAAAAAAACTCAAATTTGCGGGTCGTCGAGTCCGGAACCCCGGGAGCACAAATTTGTGGAACCCTAAACCCTGCACCCTAAACCGTGCCTCTGCTTGTATTGAACTCTCCATGCCCAAAGGCCCCCAAGCTTCCGATATGTCAGCGAGGAGTCCGACGCTTCGAGATTCTACCACCTGGGTGGCTCTCTAGAAAGGGCCCAGGTTCCTTTTGTAAGGGTGCCGTGCTATGTTGGGGACCTGGAAGGAGATTCAATTTTAGAGACCCACATGCCCTGCACCGCCAAACCCATGATCCCCAACACATGAAGCCTGAACCCTAAACCCTGAATCCTAAACTCTGAACTCTAAGCTCTAAGCCTAACTCTCCAGGTACTTACAATAAAGGGCCCTAGGGGCTCTAGTACCCTATGTAGTAGGTACCTAAGCCTCAAACTCCGAGGTTGAGACCTCCGGCCCTCCTCCGGTCGACGCGAACGCCTCGCAGGGCGCCAAGGCGAAGACGAAGGTCAAGAAGGCCAGAAGTTTGGGTTGAGGGCTTAGGGTTTAAGGATGTTTAAGGCTTATGAAGGGTTGATAAAGGGTTTAAGGTTCAGGGTCGAAGGGTGGAAGGTTTAGGTGTTTAGGGTTTAGGCCTGCTATAGAAGAGGGTAAATATAGAAGCCTAGATAGTTATCAATCTTATTCCTCAGGGTTGGGGTTTAGGGTTGAGGGTCTAGGTCGGGCCTCTTACTTTCGAGCCCTAGAACAGTGACCAATGTTGTTACTTAGGGTTCCTTCTCTTATGATCTCTTATGTATATCTGCATATCTACAAGAAAGAAGCCCAAAACCCTATTCAGCCCTATTCTATTTCTTGAGGCCCTTGCCTTGTTCAGTTTGACAAGAGCTGTTGAAACGGTTCCATGACATGTTAAGCTTCTGTAAGGGGTGGTAGATACGATCATACGGTTTTGGATTTCTTTCTTGGGTTTCTTGTGAGGCAAGTCGGATCATTTTACCAGAACACTGCTCCAGTGTAAGTGTTACACTGTGTTTTTGAATGGTTTCTGAAGCCAAATTCCTTGTTAAGGCTTCTAGGTCTTTCATCCAACCCTTGCGGGTCATGGTTGGTGTCCTGAATACAGAATGATTACTGCAAGATTTTGTAGGGTGATATGCAAAAAAAAGTCCTGACAAATCACATCCTCCACAAGAACAGTTTCACGCTGTATGACTACGGGCGACAGTTGCGGAGTAGGGTCTAGACGCCTTTGTTTTGCAGGATGTAGGGTTCAGCATGTGCGGTTCTGGTTTTGTATAGACTGCTCCACGGTTGTAGGCAGAAGGATCATGTACAGTCCAGTCCCTGGTGCGACATTGTCCAGCTGCAGGCTCGATTTTATGTCGCTTCAGGGGTTTCGAAGAGCTGGCAATTAAGATAGGAACTTGGGCTTTTGGAGTTTCGTGGAAATCTGCCATGGCCGTTGCAGGTTCGGGCCACAAAGAACGCAGCAAAAGCCGACGTTACCCGGCGGCACTGGCTGCCTTTTCGGTCCAGAACCTTTGCATGCTCGCATCCTCCGGAATCTCCAGAACCTTCAAAATTCACACAGGTTCCACGGATTCTTCTACCCTACCCAACAAGCGTGTAATCCTGTTTGACGTTTCTTCCGAACAATTCCTGTCCCAGTCCCACATTGCAAAGCTGAAGTCCGAAAATACAAGCTAAGTACTGCAGAAGTCGCTAAATCTAAATATTCAACCTTGAAAATCGAGCCGCCTGAATAAATAGCAATACTGTTCGTTAGGGTTCCTTAATATGATGAAACTCTATTGTAGCCCTGTTCAGGCTCTTGCACTGGAGTTCCTTCGCACTCCTGACTGTGGTGATGATTTTGATACACCCCAATTAAGGCCCTTACACTAGACAGCAAGATCCTTCCTTCAACCCTGGGCCGTGAAGCAAAGCGTTGGATGCATGAACCTGACCTGCCGAAAGCCCCAATCTATAGACTTGGCTGAAGCCGAAGACGCCTTCTTCTTGTTGTTGCTGTTGCAGGATGTTGAGCTATCCTGCCGAGTGCACAGAGTCTGCGACATTGCCAGCAGGAAGCCGAAGCGGGCCTGGAAGCAAAGGAGGCAGAGGCAGCGAAAGCGCCTGCCGAGGCACGTGACCTTGCCCACTCGGTTCATGGGGGTCCGCGAGTTACCTCTGTGCAGTTGGGGCTTCCTCGGCGGCCGATTCAGCGAACGCAGCCTTTCATGAGGGCCTCTTGACGCTGCTGCTTTCAACCTGCAGCCAGGCACCAGCTCCAGCGAAAGGCAAAGACAAGGGCTCTGCCAAGGGTGCTGCAAAGGGCCCGCCTGCCGCTAGTCGAATGTTGCGATGCAGTTGGTGCATCCCCTGCTACTACCAGCACGTGACCCGAGATCAGCTAGAGCAAGCTGAGGTGAAAGTGGAGGGAACTTCCTCTGCACCGGAGCATGAGCAGAAGGAGGCATACCCGTGTGCTTACGGAGCCCGAAGAAACTGCATTTTAGCTTCGTCAATGTAACATCTCTGTGACCACAAGCCGACGGAGCCAGAAGTGTCATGATACCAGCTAACTAATTGAATTCACGTTGGAGCTACTGATTCCGCCAGGCAAGAGTCCACTTGTGAGCAATCTACGCTTTTTGTAATTGGTATAGTGCAGGTCTTGGCAATAGATAGTATTACATGCTCATGCACTGTCGCATCCGCGCTTGACTGTTAGTTGCAGGGCTACTTTTTCATGGTTGCTGCTGCCAACATTATCACGATTCTGGACATTCAACACAGAAACATCCGCGTCGATGTATAGTAATTACGACAACCATGCTCGGCATCATACCATATGATCATGCTAGGCATACCAATGACTAAGATCCGAGGCTTCTAGGGGTCATTTGGCGATCGGGACCATGGTTTCAGGCACTGTCAGGGCATAGCCATAGATCTGAACCTTGAAAGATCTCCACCCTCAACCGTGCTACTCTCAGGTTTTGGTGCCGGCCTCACTCCGGTTTCTCTTCTGGTTGTCAGGGGTTACGACCTGGAGTTCGGTGCGGATCCCTGAACCAGGAGCACCCTAAACCCGGAGAACAAAAGAAAGCAGGCAGCAACAGACCCGGACGAGACGGAGCAGCCAGAGGACGTGACTCTGCTCAGGAGGCTTCAGGCTTTAAGGGCACCAGCTTGCGTTTCGGTTTCGGGTTTGGGGTGCGCAAACCGGCGCGGATGTAGAATCTGCACGACGAGGTGACCTGAACAAGGATTTGCTTTGCACACATGTATGATGTGTTCTAAGAGAAATCTCGAAGGTGAAGGAGTTCTTGGACAGTTGCGATCCCAATGCCTTGGACATTGGCAAAGAGACTTCCGACCTTGTTGCCGATGGCAAAAGCTTGCAGACCAGGGAGCTCATTGCAGCCGCCGTCTCAGGGCAAAGCCATGTTGCCTGGGAGCTGTTACGGTCCCGAGCTGACGTGAATGCCAGAGATTCCTATGGACGCACGGCACTCTCGGCAGCTTTCTGCTCGCCGGATTGCGACATCCACATGTGGTTTCTGCTGCATCACGCAGCAGATCAGCAGCGCAAGACGCCCAATCAGAGGTCGGAAGCTCAAGAAGGCGTCGGAGAGGAGCAGACTCGGACCGTGCATACGCCCTCACACGATCAAGCAGACATCCGGGAGGATGAGTTCTCGCGCATGCCCCCTGACGCGGACACGAAAGCAAAAATCATGGCAGACAGCAGCCGGGCGGATGAGTATCGGACCTTGCGCATGCTTGTTACACTGTTGCGTGGAGAGGGGCAGATCTTCACAAAAATGCTTGACGGCTTCCTGAAAGAGGCCGGCTCGCGTTTGAACAAGCTGGTAGTATCTGGTAGTTATATAGCATTGGCAAGTTCGGGACAGGCTTTCTGAAGAGAGCAGCTGGGAGGAATGGAACATGAGAGAGAGAGAGAGAGAGAGAGAGAGAGAGAGAGACAGAGAAGTTGCACAACAAACGGGGGAACGTGGATCCCGGCTATTGTTCGTTTCAGCTCTACGTATTCGCTATCTGGGATGTTTTCACAGAAAAAACCGTTCTGTGCAATAAATTTGCGCATGTTCATCGGTCCGTGCAGGTGACAGTTGGGGGGACCATATTACTCTAGATTTGTCCTCTATTGTATGTCATGTGTTTAGAGATATGGCCTCTATTGTATGCCCCCCAAAGTCGCGAAAGGATCGTGCACGTGTCAGCCCAACATCAATGAACCCAGTCAGTTATAGTCCACTATGCTCTCTTGCATCAACTGGGGCAATTGATGTTTCTTTTTCACGTCCCACCTTTGAAGCCCCATAGCCGGGGGGCCTAACCCGCCCCTTATGCCCTGCTGATCAAGAAGAGAGACAGAGACAGACAGAGACAGACAGAGAGCGAGCGAGCGAGAGCGAGAGCGAGAGCGAGGGAGAGAGAAGGGAGACTGAGGCGCAGAAACCATGAGAAACCATCACGAAGCAAAGCTGAGCAGAAAGAATTGGCAGGTAACGAACTTGTCACTTGCAATGGTAGGGCGGCCGTGGCAGCAGAGTACAGAGAACAGTCATGCAACCAGTGGCATGGCATGGCTCGAAGACGATGGTTTTAAGGTTTAGGGCCGTTTGGGGTTTAGGTCTTGAAAGTTGAGGAGTGTTCGCTGGCACACAATCCAAGCCCATGCTGAAAAGGGTTTGAAAGTTGACAGGTTGAGCCCGGACACTACCGCTCTGAGAGATTGAAGGAGAGGATGCGCACCGTCCTTTGCGATTATGGACGGGACAGGCAGCGGGTACCAAGTACGCAGTCAGTCTGTCAATAGCTGCGTGGGGGCAGGTTTCCAAGCTACTTAGAATGTCAAGGGCCGTGGCCTGTGGCAAACTTGCAGCCACGCACTTCCTGGTTTGTAGTTCTTGCGCACAGCCATCTTGCTCCGGACGCTAAGGCAGAGGATTTTGTTAAAGATCGGAAGACCCAGAAGTCCGTGTTCACTATGACCGATCGTGCCAAGAAGCCAGAAGATGTCGACGAATGCAACCTAAGCTGGCACAATATGCTCTACGCCCCGGAAGTACAAGTGTCTTTGCGAAGTCTGCCGATCCCGGCACCTCTGGCATGCGAGCCCTCGGTTCTTGCAGCACTGGCAGAGACCGCTAACGAGGAGACGCTACAAACAGATGCTGTGGAAGCCATCACCGCCGCCGCGTGGCTCCAGATGCGAGTGGAAACCGCGATGGACAACTTTCTGAACTTCTTGGCTTTGGGATGTTTGTGTCTGGTAACGTGGGCGTGTCGTACAGGAGACATGGATGCCCAGCCTGTGCCCCAGCAATGTCTTCTTGAGTTGAGAGCCCATAGCAGACCTTGTCTCATCAAGCGGAGACGGAACACAAGAGTCGGGGCGTATCTTTGCAGCCTGACTGCCCAAGCCCGGCGATTGACACAATTTGTAGTCATGTGGCCTAAACCCAAAGCCTTGCTTGAGATTATTTGAGGCCTGCGCTATGGGTCCTGGCAATGATTCAGTTCAAGGAAGCTGTGGAGTTGCTCTCGCAGCTTGGTTTCTTTTGCTGGGGCTGGCTCTCCTCCAGCAGCACGAACGCTCAAAGCGAGCCGAGCCTCGTGTGTTTTCGAGACGATTTTGTGTTTGTGGCCTTTTGGGGGATGATGGCGCCATTGGGATCTTGATGGTTGCAATGTGGGAATTTCAGAAAGCCAGGGGTCCTCATTATAAGGATCTTGCTATTTGGTGTCTTATACTAGGGTGCCCCACCTTCTGAAACTCCCAGACGTCTTCACCAGTTTAGGCCTGTGGATCGCGTGAACGGGAAAGACATGACGCTACTGGGTGATGCAGAGACTCGGTACCGGTTTGGGACAATTTGTAATCTCCCTTGTTGTCAAATATAGAGCCCTAAACCCTACACCCTACACCAGAAATCGGGGCTCTCTATGACAGATGGGAGTTTCCAAAAATAGGGGACCATAATATGGTTCCCTAAGTAGTAGGATCCTTATTCTAAGGACCCCAGAAAAAGGTACCCCTAATTTCGGAATCTCCTAGATGTTGCGGGAAAAAGGGCCTCAAAACGAAGAAAAGCTCCTGAGATCGACACCAAGGATATCTCTTGGGTTCATCCTGCTCCCAGCCCGGAAACTCTGGTTGACTTCTTCTTCGTGGTAGCCGGCCCCTGGGTTCTCTTAAGGAAGCCTGCTCTAAGTTACCACAAGTAGGATTTAGGGTCTAGGGTTTGGGGGGATGCTACTGCTTTTATTTGTTATAAGTATGCAAGTTCTTGTTTTGGTAGCTGAGTTCAGGTTCCCTCAAAGCCAGCATGCTATGTGTCCCAACGCTTCTTCTCTGGTACATTATAGAAATTTTCCGTAGCAAGAAGCAGGCTACTTCGCTATCTATCGCCAGATGGATCTCTGCAGCGATGGCGAGTTAGAGCCCATCTTCTTGCCAGCATTTTGCTCGATGTACTGGCTCCGGCTCATGTACCTGTGGCCGTTTAGGAAATAGGTTTTCGGGATGGGGGTTCTTCTGTGTTAAGGGGGGGCATGTGATTGTTTCGTAGTCGATTTGTTGAGCTACAGGTACAGCCTCCGTGGGGAGCGGTGGCTGGGGCCCTACCTTCTACCGATTCTCTCAGCCGTTCGAGACACCGGGGCGTTCTTCTTCGTCACCTCCCTCTGTGTCGGCAGTGCGACTCATGCCTACGTGATCATGAACCCCCGAGGCGAAGTAAGGAGTCGTTTTTAAGTTACAGTCTTCCGGGGGATCTTTGGCTTTCGGGGCATATTTCATTTTCGGGGTTGAAGGAATGGTATGGTCGTACCGGGCCGAGTAGGATGTCACATGTATTGATTCATTGAAGTTCATTAAAGGGTGTCTCTGGGTTGTCCCAACCCCAGAGCCCGAAAAGCCAGGCGGGGACGAATACCCCATATACTCTTCCTTCTTGCACACGGTTCGACTGGCCATCTTCGGGGACTTTGACCTCTTTGAGTACCAGGGCCAAGACACTACCTTCCAGCAAGTGGAGGGCGAGTGGGCGCCGAATGACCCCAGCCCGAAAGATGTGGGAGAGGACCCGGACAGTCCCTACAGGCCTTACATCTACCTACAGCTGTGCTTCTTTGGCACGGGGATTGGCATTACGGTGCTGCTGATGAACCTGCCACTTTGGTGCTGGGTAAGCAACCTTTAACAGCTTTGTTTCTACAAGCCCAGTTATGAAGGTTAGCCACTTTCTTTTTGCACAGCAGGCCAAAACCCCTACAACCTGACTCCTTCAAATTTGAACAGGCCCCAACCTTAAACACCGAATTCAGCAAGAAAGTAAGGCTGATTGCCATTCTGAGCCAAAACTACGAGATGCAACAAGACCGGGCACAAGGGCTCTTCGTGCAGGCCCGCGCGCGTATGCTGCTGGAGGTGGGAGGTGGGTTTGAGCTGCTGAGTTTTGAGAGTTTATGGCAAGTTTGCGGTTCAGGGTCTCGGATTTGCAAGAGGTGAGGGTGGTTCTGAATGAAGGGCTCCGTAGGGTTTCGGAGGCGGCTCGCACACAGCAGCGGGCCCGGTCCTTCCAAGTCCTCTCTTTCCGCTATGGACGGGCCGCTCCATTTTCCGCTGGCCAATCGACCTCACTTCCGGATATGGCGTCTCGCTGCTAATGTTTGTTTCTGCTGGGCCGTTACAGGGTCTTTCTAGGTTACCTGCCCGACACGTACTCCGATGCTCTACTGAAGCCGCCATTGGCTCGATTCATCGCCGCTCCGATTGCCAGTGCTGCAGCAGCCCTTGTTCCTAATGCGAATCTCCTTCTCTCGACCGTTTTCAGTCATTGCTATCAGGCAGTCATCATCTAGCTCTGCTGGCTTGCACGCTGCACAGACGGCCGAGAATCTGCCACGCTCCACTTTGATGCCACTTACATTGGCTTACAGTATGGCTTCACTGCAGCGTCCGTCCCTGATTTACGAGCCTGATGCAGAGTCTTTGTCGTGACAAGCCTGGCTGACCGTCAGATTTGCTGCTTTCGGAGGGTGTGTTTCTTCAGAGCGCGAAACCCAAGCCCCCGTTGGTCCATGCCAGCCTCATCGTCCCATCTCTCTTCTTTGTCGTAGGGTTTGCTCGGGTCTTTTGTGTTTGCTTCTCGTTTTCTATACCATCCACCTCCAAATTGATGCGCACATTCGAAAAAGTTGTTCGCACATGATTGCAGAACGTTCGCTGGCTGGGGGCTCTGACGCGCGAAGATCAGGCTCCTGTCAGGGCACCTGTCACGTAGCGGAATCTGTTGTAGATCTCAATAGATCTCATATCAGAAAGAGGGCAAGACAGGTAGCAGCAATCACGATACAGTTAAGGATGCGAAAAGCCAAGCGCCCCCGCCAGGTACGGCGCAGGCCGTGGATAATGGTCTACATGTGGCTCCGTCGCAAGCTCTTTGACCCCGGGGCCGACCAGCCTCCGGCCCCTTCTTGGCATCTTCAGATGCTGGCGAAGATCGCCCTGAGCCCACTGAAATTGATCATGCAGCCTTTCGTCCCGGGGGCGTACTACCAGGAGAACATTTTCAAACATTTCGAAAAATTCATCCATCGTGCTCTCTGGGGCCCTGTGACGAAGCACAAATTTTTGGCTCTTGGCATCCCCGCAGCTTACCCAGCTAATGGGAGAAGGTTAACCTTTTTGTGTTTTTGTTGCTTCGTCCACACTCTGAAGCTTGAGTTTTTGAGTTTGGTTCTGGAAAGCAGAGGTAGTGTGCGTGGTGCTGCTGGTTGGATCGCTGATAAGCCTGCTGGTTTTTGCCTTCATCGTCTTGGTGCTACCAGCAGTAGGTTTTCGACTCACAGGCCTTCGCAGTCGGAACAGTGGAAGCCATTTTCCTTTCAACGGTCCTGGGTGTAACACGAGTCTTATTGCTCGGGTTGATGCTAGGGTTCCGGGCGTCGCGCAACCGGGGCCAAGATTACGGCCAGAAGCTTGTACCGTGTTTTTTGTTTAGGGCTCAGGGGACTCTTCTGAAGGATGGATCACTGAAAATCTGAAAACTTCATTTTGCATATCACGGGCCTCGGCTGGCAACCTGGCACGGCAAAGCCATAAATCGCAAAACCGTGAAACACCCATGAATCTCAACATACAGAGTGCTGTTGCAAATTCGTCAGCCCTTGGAGGCATTCGCTACACGCTCAACCACAGCTTGTTCGGCCTCTTTGGAGATCGCTTTGCCGAGGAGTGTGAGATTTTTGCGCTGGTCCGGGCGGAGCCTGCGCCGCAATTATCAGGGCTTTCGAGCTCAGTGTAGCCCCGAACCCCGGATGCCCGAGTTCCACGGTGGTAGCATGCAGAAGCCGTTTGACTCGTCTCCTTGTCCTAAACCCTGAACCGTTAAGTTAACCCTAAACCCTAAAACGCTGAATCCATAAATTCGATCAACCAAGAACCTCAGGGGGCTCAAACCAGTCGCGACATTGAAGTTCTGCTTTCGGTTTCGTGGGGTATTACATCCAAAGAATCGTGAACGTGTAACTGGAACCACAGAGCCTCCCTTAAACTCTAAACCCTCGACCCTAGTCCTTCAGTTCATATCGGCCTGGAAGGAAACTGGTTTGGACGATCTGCGAAGCATGCGCAGCGACCTAAAGGACCTCAGGCATGTCATTGTCGTTTCGAAAACGTGGTGTGTTGTGGTTGCTGCTGCTTGACGATGCTTGCTCAAGCATGAAGTAGCGGCGACTTGAAGGGGAAGAGACGTGCTAGCGGGTGGTTACAGTACGCATGTGGACATGTCTTTGGTCAATACCTGCAGCAAGCATGGTGTCGTGCAACAATGTCAATGCATGATGGAGTCTTATAATGTGCTACAGTATACTATATAGTATTCCATAATGTAGTATAGTATACGACAGTATACTATAACCTAAAATGTTTTTCGATTGTAAGTCTGCATTGCCGGTCGCCCGCCATGCACTGTAACCGAACCGCGAACTCCCAAAATAAACCGTGTTGGAAAGGTTGTTTGGGACAAACCCGAAACCCCCAAACCCAAAATCCTAAACCCTGAACCGTCAGGACGTCTGCGAGAGGAAAAAAGGTTCAACAAAAAAGTCAAAACCCTAAACCATGAACCCCAAACTCAAAGCCCTTGATTCCCATGAGGTGTTTCAGGCAGCAGTAAAGGCCACCTAGCTTGAAGGATTCGCTCCGCCTTGGAATTGAAGACGGCTTCTGATCAAAGGGACCCTTAAAGTGGTTTAGGGTTCAGAGTTTTGGGGTTTGGCGGTTTAGGGTTTACGGGTTCAGGGTTCAGGGGCTTGGGGTCTAGGTTGAGTGAGGTCAGCCACGGTCTGCCAAAACTTGTGGAGGCAGAGCATCCTTTGCTGCCCAAACCCAGAAACTGACAATAGAGACCATACGCACTAGGCTCTAGGCCTCTAGGCAGTTCGTGGAAGAGGACAAGATGCAAACTCTGGAAAAGAAACTACTGACGCAGCTCCAGGAGCAGAAGGACCGTCTTTAGAGGCTTACGTTCTGCAGATTAGGCTTTTAAGAGTTATGGAAGAGAGGCCAGGCAGTCCAGGAGGTTTTTTGCAGGGCAAAGGGCTTTTGGGATTGCAGGGTTCAGAGTTTACAGCCCGAGCTCCTTTCCCGAAGTGTTAAACACATGAGTAGTTCTGTACATTGGGGTCCCTTGTAGGGTCCTTTTTGAGGATGTCGCCTTCTTTTGCGGTTTGGTGAAGTGCCCACATGGCTGGGCCTCGGGTATCAGTGTGGCAGAGGAGAAGATGCGAAGCTTTGAAGCGGAGTTTCAATCATATCGCGAGGAGCAGAAGGACCGTCATCTGTGTTTAGAGTTCAGGGGCTTGCAGATTCAGAGCAGGGAGAATTGTCGATGTCATTGGGGATGCGCTGGGGTTTGCAGGGCCTTTCAAGACCCTTAACCCTCAACTCTAAACCTCTTGCGTCTTCAAGCTCCGAAACGCCAGCGGTGCAGGCGAGGATGGATAAAGTTGACGGCAAGATCGACCGAGTGCTTCACCACCTTTCAAAGGTCGCTCGATGTGACTATTTGGGTCTGGGTTGCCTCGAGGTCTGAACTACTTAGGTTTTCTCGCTCGGAGTTCAGGGTATCTCCAGTGTAGGGTTTGGGATGCAGGTGCAAGGTGAACATCGCGAGAAGCAGATGCTCTGAGCATCGGAAACATCAGCAAATCCCTGTGTTGAGTCCCAAGCCCTCAAAACCCCGGAAGAGAAGGAGTTGAAGGAGGAAGGGGAAGAGAGGAATGAAGGTGCAGGAGTCCAACAGGAGGGAAGCAGAAGAAGGGGCGAAGCGGAACGAAGACAGAAGCCGAGAACGCCAACAAGGACAAGAAGACTGCAAGCAGAGATGGTGGGGAAGATGGAGGACAAGGGACGGAGGCTGAGGACGAAGATGGAAAAGATGAGTGTTTGGGGTCCACCAGCAGATGAGCGCACGGGTCATATGTACATATATATATATATATGTATATCCACACATATGTGTATAAACATGTATGTATACATATACATACACATATACATATACACGTACACACACATGTATGTATGTATGTATGTATGTATGTATGTATGTATGTAGGTATGTAGGTATGTAGGCATGTAGGCGCGTAGGTGCGTAGGTATGTATGACCCTTCTGGCATTTGTTTATAAACAGCGCCTGTGTTTATAAGCAGCCCTCATGTTTATGAACACAGAAAAGGGAAACGAAAACAAGTTCAGCAGACCTACACACCATGACAGGAATCCAGGACAAGAATCCTTGACAAGGCAATGCCGACATCTGTCAATTCAACAAAAGATGCGTGAACAGAAGGTTAAGAGCAGCAAGTAAGCATCACGAGCCCGATCCAAAGGCCCACGTAATTTCAAAAACTCCGTATGCACAAACGCAGGCCCCAGGATCGACCCTTCTGGAGAGCGGCCGACTGTGGGGCCTATGTTTGGTTTTAATGCTTTTTTGTCGGGTTTCAAGGTGAATAGTCCAAAGCAGGAGCTTGTGTTTCTGTGGCGTGTAAAGCACATACCACAAAGCAAGCATCATGAGTGTTTTTCGGAACGGCCTGTTCGAGCTGTGCAAAATCGCTCTCCAACAGGCGCCACACCGGTGTGCAGGTTGAGCCTCTTAATCTGGGTCCTTGTGCAGCAGATCTTACACGCAGAAAACACTGCAAATACCGTTGTGTTGAGGCTCTCTAAAGAACGTCTCAAGATATGCTACATAAGCTCGACAGTTTCCCCATGCAGCTCTGAACCTGGCCTTTAAGACTTTGGACTGTCTACCCAAAGCAAGCCCAGCCAACAACGTTGTTGGTATCAATGTTCGAGAAAACCAATGTAGAGACTCAGCCTAATTAGCTGCCGAATTGCATAGGCATAGGGTTAACGAAATGTGCATGCGCATCAGGGCCCTTGTTTTTGCACGCTGAAGCAAAGTAAAGATGTGAGCGGGTTCAGCCTATGTATCTGTATATAAGACCACCAAGGACAAACTGTAAGCGATGAAGATCTGACTTTTGTCCTAGACTGGCATCCTATTTGTGTTGATGCTTATGCGATTCTAGCTTCTTCCGATGCCATTGTTCATAAGGTACCCGGTACCCCTTCGAAATAGCCAGTGTTTGGACCAATATCATTTCGACTCGCACTGGAGACCGGGTCGGTTCCAAGCCGTAACAGGTCGTCCTCCTATAGTTCCTCAAATCGGTATGGTCCATGCCATTGCACGGTCTCCATGCCTGCACATAGCCTTACAACAGATTTTGCGCAGTTGAAATACTATTCACAAACATCTGGTGGTTTCACTCGAGGAGCCTGGACGTATCAGCCGCACGCTGCTGCAGTGCATCTATCTCTTTGTACACAAAAGAGAAACACACGGGCCCATTTCTGTTGCGCTTAAGCAACCAATATGTTTACAAAGAACCCGCAAGTTTATAAACAAGGCCCGGTGTTTATAAACAACCCGTGTAAGTGTTCACAAAAGGACAAGCAGAATTCAACGCAAATACCAGTGTTTTCATGAATTGAATTTATCCAACCAGGTCTTGGGGTATATCACATTATCTCCACACTTTCCTCCATGAGGAAAATGCTTTGTGACCAGCACTTAAGACTTGAGGGTTGGTGTCTATTGGGAATGGCTGCGCGCGACTCGGGCCGATGGCGGATTGTTCGGCGGTTGCACGTTGTGGTGAGTGGTGAGTGAAAGTGCTGGTGGTGAGGGGGGGAGCCGGGGGGGGAAAGGTCTTGGATGGTAGCCCTGTCCTACCAAGACCTCTCGCCCCCGCACCCCCCACGTCGAGCGAAGCGTTTGTTTATAAACAGCGCCCGTGTTTATAAACAGCCCTCATGTTTATGAACACAGAACAGGGAAACTAAAACAAATTCAACAAACCAACACACTATGATAGGAATCCAGGACAAGAATCCTTGACAAGGCGATGCAGACATCAGTCAATTCAACAGAAGATGCGTGAACAGAAGGTTAAGAGCAGCAAGTAAGCATCAGGAGCCCGATCCACAGGCTTTCGTTTGCACAAACGCAGGCCCCAGGTACATACATACATACATACATACATACATACATGCATGCATGCATGCATGCATGCATGCATGCATACAAACACACAGACATACTTAATACATACGCACACATGCATACGCATGCATATCTATCAGTCTATCTATCTATGTGAATCCAGGCTGGGCTGCGGAGATCAGCATACTGCTAGGGTTCAGATTTCAGGGAGAGCTTGTATCTGGAACCCTTCACTCTTAAGCCAAAACCCTCAACCCTACACGCATAGTATAAACCCTTGCAGCCGGCGACATTTGAGGCAGTTGGCTTGTGAATCCGGCCATGAGAGCAGACTTTGATCAAGAAGCTGCAGGCCTTTCCGTCTAAGACGGTTTAGGGTTAGGGTTCAGGAGTCTAAGGTGCCACAAGCCCTGAACTCTGAGTCCTAAACCCTAAGCTGTGAACCTTAAACTCTGGTTTGGGTTCGTAGGTTTCGGGTGCAAGGATGCTTGCGTGGTGACATTAACGTCGAAACCCCCTAAATCCCAAGCTCGAAACCCTGGAGGCTATAAACTTTGACTAAACCCTAACTCTGAGCCCTATAAGCCCTAAGAACCCCGGAGTTTCCGCATCAGGGCCTCTTATAGCGTTCACGCCGAGGGGATGCGAGGGGTGGTGACGGCCGGTTCGCAACGTGATGTTGCCGTGTCAACCCTAATTCTTGGGCTTTAAGAGTAGAGCGTGGGGTCTGAAGGATTGGTGTTTATGCCTGTTGCTCGTGATGGCAGTAACAGTAAGAGCAGCACGAGCGAAACAACAGAGTCACTTCTAGCATTAGTAGTCATAATCGTCACCGTAGCAGTCCAAATCTCAATAAACGCTTATAAACTTTGCATGAGTATCGTACCCTCAAACCCAAGCCCTCAACCCGCGAAGTAACATTCTCAGCAACATCGAGCAAGGCTTTTACAGGGGGTTTAGGGCTTGAGAACCTTGTCCAGCTACGGTGCGCTCCAGCATCGTCCGTTCGCGGATCCGGTTTAACCAGAACCGGGATATACCGAGATCTGGGTCACGAAGCAGAAGCCGAATTACACAAGGATACGGAAGCCTCGTGTTAGTTGCTGTGAAAGTGGTCGATTAAA